TCATTACCCTCTGCATGGACTAAAATACAATCCGGCACTATGCCCTGCCCTATTTTTAACTAATTCAGAGCATATGTTACTCCAACAGAAACTGCGAAAACCAAACCAATGTAATTTAAGTGAATCATGAGGAAAGCCCAGCTGTGTGCCCCTAGGTTGAACCGCGGCTCTCCGTTCTGCCCAGTAGAAGAAGGAATGGCCTACTATCCAGGTGGCCCGACCTATAATAGAAGAGAAACATATAGAACCACACATAGTAAGCACTTTCACTTTCCCTCCCACCCCCAGACTTAAACCAACCAATCAGGTCTGACATAAGACCTAAACCTCACTTTCCCATCGACCAATCTTTTTAACCAACTCATCAGTGAAACCCAACCGTGCCGCTTCCGTTGCTGCCCCAATTCGAAATGAATGCATACCAAAATGTGATTCATCCAGACCCAGTTGCCCCAAGCATAGGTGAAAAACATGGGTAAACTGATATTTGGACAGAGATGATCCATCTTTGTGGATGAAAAAAGAAACCCTCGCCCGCAAACGAACGGCCAGATACCGGGAAGCACAACCCACTGGACATGCCCACAAGCCGGGTAACCAAGCCAATTTGCCCAAGCAGCCCTTACCGAACACATTAGTTTTAGAATGACGTAGATAGATACCAACCTTATCTACTCCAACTTCCACATCCGAAACTAGAATGCCCCCTGCCTGCACCCGGCTCTTACCCATTCACTAATGCGAAGAGCTCCAAAGAATGCACAAACAAATGCCACTGTAAAAAACAGCACTTCATATTGCGAAAAACAAAGCTCTTGCAATGCCCCAACCAGCCGGAGGAGCAAGTCAAAGGAGACTGGTCTCCTGGTATCAGGAGCTTTCTTCCCTTTACGGAAACCTTCGAGAGACTGAAGGACCAGAAAGTGCTTTGTCAAGTCTTCCCAACCATTTAATTTGAAGAGAAACGCCAACATGGCTAGATTACGGTCAACAACCGACACATAAACCATAACAAAACATCTAGATGTACCTCCACCGAGTGAATCTCTTCAATACAGCCCCACGCCGCATCCCGAGTCCCATACCTTACTGTAAGCTGCCCACGTGCTTGGCGCCAATGACTCTCTGATTAGTCTTCCAAGCATGTAGTCCCGAGTTGCCACAGCTCGGCCGGGCAAGACAAACCTTCTGCATGTACTTCCGGAGCCTCTGATCGGAATCTCGCCCACTGGAAACTAGAAAGCGATTACATTAAAAGAAAAACGGTACATGACGTGCACGAAAAACAATATTAAATTGCATACAATGTAGGACAAATTGACGTAGCAGCCGCACCACTGGTACTGAAGAGGCCGACAAATTATTTACGGCGTCCACCACCGACATGTTATCAGTGAAGACTACTTTCCTGTCCTGCAATATGGGACCCCATAGCGACAAGGCCACCAGTAATGGAAACAGTTCTTAAAACGTCAAGTTCCGAATGAGCGTGCTGGTAGCCCAAGATGCAGGCCATTGCTCAGCACACCATTGACCGGCGAAGAAGACCGCCAAAATCAATACTACCTGAAGCATCCGTGAACAGTTCTAAGTCAAGCGGCGAGACTGATTTCTCCCGAAAGAAAACCTGGCCATTAAACTCACATGAGAAACTTTCCCAAATTCCCAAATCCTCCTTCATGGGTCCTGACACTCTGATGAAATGGTGTGGCAACCATACCCCACCGGTTGCTTTAGCCAAGAATCTACTGAACACCCTCCCCACAGGGATCACCCATATGCCAAATTCAAGCGCCAAATTAATGACTGCAGCGTGTGCAATGTCACTTTCTTAGTTCCCTGCATCTCTGCAATGCGTTCCCTAAAAGCAACCAATTTGTCTTGTGGCAAGCGACATTCGCCTGCCACGGTGTAATTTTCGAGCCCCAAGAAACTCAAACACATTGACGGCCCCACGGTTTTGTCCAAAGCCAGTGGCACCCCGCAAACCTTGATGTACCTGGGGAACTGGAGAAGTGCTCCAGGGTGTGGCCTGCCCAGCCCACCCGCTATCTAGTAGACCTAAGGTCACGCCCATGCTCCATTTGATGTGGGGGCACCCTGTCGTTGTGACTATTGACTTGCCTATTTCCTGCGCTGTGCCTTACTACATGTAGTTGCTGCGTACCATGGGGCGGTTGATAGGGGGCTGGTGGAAGAAGCCTTGGAGAGTTTGGAGCCCCCTGGGTCAGTCCTGGCCTTACACGTGTTCCCCCCTTCATTCAGTCATTGTCCCTGCTGGCCCTGGGGGCCGACTCACCCTGAGGTGTGCAGTCAGGTTCCTGCTTTGTACTCCTGGTGGCGCCTCTCCAAAATTGGGGGCCCACCGACTTCTTCTGTGAATTTGCTCCCCTTAGAATGCCCCCCGATGGCTGGGGACCTCCAGCCGCCGTATTCTGCTTCCTTTTTGCAACTGCCGTAAACCGTGTTGTACCTCATTTCACGGTGGTCCTCCGAGGCGTGTGGTCGTGCCTGCTACACCTCCGTGACCTCCAGTAACCTGGTCGACGCCACTCTTGCTGAAGCAATAAATACACACTTTTGGCTAATACTGAAAATGTCCCCCTTAATCTACAAGTGGCTACTGGTATGGTGCCAATTATATAAATGGCAGAATTGAGCAGTGAGACTGCAGAGACATGATCTGTACAGTCGGTCTGATAAAGTAGAAGTCCATACTTATCACACCAATTCATAGTAGGTTTAAAGAATATTAATTGGCTTCCAGCTATTAGCTGACCCTCTCAGCCAATGAATACTGTTTAAACCTAGTACAAGTTGGTACGATAATTAGGAATTATGAACTTCCACTTTATCAGACTGAAACAATCGATAAGCATCCAACACAGCAAGGTAAGAGTCAAGCGTTCATAAATCGTTCATAATTCACTGGCAGACAGTATCCAGGAACTCCTCGGGACAGTAGTGGTTATAGTGCCTAGATTGATTGATATAATAAAAATATTACGTTTACTGTCTGTATCATGAATAAAAGTGAAGCCTCTTTGCCAGTGACTATCTTTTAATCATTACATTCTCTGCAACCTCATTACCAAACGGATTATTTATTTCCTATGGAGGACTGAAGAACTTGACTGGCCACTTTTGAATGACAAATGGAGGGCATTTTTTGTGGCATCTTCAAAACTTTTCATATGTAAGATGGTATGTAGACCCAGTATGATTGAGCCACATATACCAGATGGCCTCTCCCCTTTACATGAGATGTTGTGGGCAGTGGAGTACACTGCCTGTGTTTTTTGTGATAAGCTATTTCCATTTTGCAATCTCTCCAGGGGAGGGCCTCTGTCCAGACCCAAGTGTGGCCCTGTTTAACAGCATGCCAAAATGTTTTAAGCTCTCTCAACATTCCTTGAAACTGGCAGATAGAATTATCTGTCTAAAGCCAACATTTGATGTCTATATTACAACATACAAACTAAAATGCATTCCAAAATCATACACTGATGTGGAAGATTACAATGAATAAATGTATAATCAAAATTGAATATTGGTGTGGTTTTCTATTTTTCACGCTTACCCATCAATGTTCTAGGAGTTTTAATATATTTACTTATGCCCTATTTTTAACAAATATGAAAAATGATCTGTAGAAACCCACACCAATATTCAATATATATTTAGCCTTTCCGAACACACATCTGAGCAAAATCAGTTAGAAAACTGTTAAATTTGGTGATGACCCAGTGACTGAGCGTCTTGTTACCCCCCCTAACTTCTTCCTCCTACTTGCCTAGCGTCAGATTTCTTTTCAATTCCTTTTGGCAACTTTTTTGCCTTTCCTTGTATCTTTGCACCCCTCTGTATAGAGAGTATCATCTCCGAATGGACTGGTTAAGGAGATATTCACACTGGTCATAAGAACATTTCTTACTCCAGGTTTCTTTACTTGTAAAAGTACCTTCTTTGTTTCCATCATCTTTTTCAAAGAGCCCATTTAAGAAAGATTCAAATACGGTAATTATAAATATGTTAATAATAAATAATGTGCATTGTTTGAGGCATGGCACAGATAGGCATTGTCAGTTGACCTTAAACAAACTGTTTTTCACTCAAGTGTCACCAGTAGGTAGTTTTATGGGTTTTTTTTCTCCTTCCACAACTGTGCAATGGACACAGCAACTTTTAAGAACCTCTAATATATATATATATGGTACTTTGGTATGGGTACCTATCTGTAATAATCTCAAGGACTCGGACAAATCTACTTCTACACCATCATCAGGGTCATTGCGACCGTTCTGTTAGAAACGCTTTATGATATTCTAAAGTAATGTTTTGAAATGTGTCTTTTGTCACAGTTCACCATTAAACTTGTGTAAACATTTATGCATGTTTAAATTATCAATGTCTTTTGTGTAGTAGTAAATTAAATCCTTTATTAAAACCCATTAAGGATTGCTTTGAGCAACATAGCCACTATAATGAACTATAGTTTTGCAATGTGAATTTTAGTGAATACAATTTAGCATTTCAGTGACATTACTAAAAATGTATGTGTGTGTATATGTATATATTTATGAAATAAATCTCACCTATGAAATGAAGCTGTAGCTTGCTGTGTTGTTAATATTGTATCTGTGGATAAAAGAAGCAAATATTTAGATCAACCACTAGCAGCTGACTTTGAGGATTTCTCTAGATAGATGCAGTTTAGATACAGTTAGTTACTGGAGATAGTGTTTTTGTTTTTTTTACAGGAGAAATAAGTTCTTGAATGAAAAAAATCAGTTATAAAAAAAAAAAAAGCAAGCGGCTATTCATTTATTTATGTTCACACATACATTTTTTTTTATTGACATTTTTTTAGCTTCTCACGAACATGAGAAGATGCTTCTCACGGTTCAGTGATTAACATATGAGAAGGGGAGTGGGTGATGGGAGGGAGTGTGTTAGTAAGACTAATATGGGGGAGGGTGAAAAATCAGACAGGCGCAGACAGAGCAGAGGGTCTCAGTCCGGCCCCTCATTTCTCCCAGCTCAGCTCAAGGTAGGCCCTTATCTTTCACAAGATGTTTTTAAACACCCTGCCCTGTATAGCACACACACATACACACAGAGCGGGCTCCACTCTACTGTCCAAAGCAATCTGTCCATCTGGGATGGGTACCACTCCCTTCTCCTCCTCATCCATCACTGGCTATCTCTCCTATTCTCATTTGCAGTGTATTATCCTTTAGCCTTGGACTTAAATATTTTCCGTTCTATAACAACAATAAGACTGTTTCACTGAATATGTCCCTATAGATAACATTAAGACTGTTTCACACCCATGTGGGAGTCAGGCATTTACATTTCTGCATATTTTACCTGTGGATTTACATCTGTTACCTGCTCCATCCAAGATAGTGGCTCCAGCAGTGAACTGGTTAATATATAACAGATCTAGTTATCAGAGCTATGTGCTCATTACATGCTAAATATAAATGTATTTTAACCCAGTTTTATGTGTAGTTATTTACAAAGTCTACAAGCATCTGTGTTGAGAGTTCACAATAATGGTGTTGGTATTTATATAATAGTTTGTCTAAATAGCAGGTTATTTACACTTGGGGGTTTCCCATAGATATATCATTAATATACCTTATCCTCTACATGGTATATTTTATGTATTTTAGTTATATGGCAAAAATACCTGAATCCTTATTCGCTTTAGGCAACAATTGAACACAGGATAGGAGTTGAGAGGAGAGTAGTAGTTTGCTGTGTTTTGGGTATTTATATTTTTTGTAGTTGTAATAAATGTTCGCATATTACCAACAATAAGAATCTTTACCAACCATTACCTCATTGATATGAAGTCAAATTGTAACAAGCATTCCAATCCATCCATTGTATGACTACCATTGCCCTGTGCCTTTTAAAATATCCTTGCATGGTACTGTACTGTCCCAGCATCCAGACACTTCCACTCCAGAATAAACGCCAGAAAATAGCCCACACGGTTATCAACAAAGTGGGAACTTTACATTTTAGGCCAACAAAAGAAATATTGAAAACATAAATGACTTGAAATCTTTCCAGTTTGGCTATTGTTTTGTGAAATTTGACTTTAGTGAGTATTCCCACCAGTGCTTAAAAAAAGAGAAGACTTATGAATGTTATTGTTAGGAATTCAATGTAAATTTCAAATATTAGGCTAAAGTAGCTGAACTGAAAACGTTTTCCAATTCGGCTGTTTAGGCGTAACATTTAAAATTCACTTTGAATTCGTAACAATTTACACTTTGGCGAATAAACCAGTATGAAGGAACAATAGAGTTCTATGGATGCAGAACTAGTGATGGTGCATACCCCCACCATATCTATCAACAGCATTGCCGCAGCTAGCATATGTGTGTGGGTGACAAGCAATAAGTGATTACTCACAACCTGAAAGCACAATAGTGGCCCAGCTGTTATGTGTCCAAAGATTTTGTGTCAGATGGGCCAGTAAAGAAACGTTTTGGCTGAATACACGCTATAGCTATGATAAAATATGGCAGTCAGCATCATGTGTGGATGTCTGTCTATATATGGTACTAGGCAACTCATTAAAATTGAATAATGGACTAAAATATTGCAAGTAAACATGCAATAAGTAATTAACAACTGAATCTTGATAGGACATTTAGCTGTAATCCCTTCCTTCCCAATACTGTAAATGCGCAGGCTAAATTTAGTTTTGCTACTACTAGAGAAAGTTAGTTAAGATTTAACTGACAGTATAACAGAACTAATTATCCAAATACAGTATTTACTTGAATCTAATGCGTACCTTTTTTGTAAAATAAAGTTTCCAAAATTTGAATGTGCATTCGATGCAATGGCACATTACATTCGGAGGAAAATTAGAATTTTTCCGACAAACTGCATTCCAGCGAATTTCATTCCGGCGAATTAAAACTGGTGACTTCAAACTAGTGAATTAAATCTGGTGATTTCAAACAGACAAATTCAAACTCACAAATTAAAACTGGTGAATTCACACAGGCAAATTTTGTTTCTGTAAGAGGGCTTAAGAAAGAATAGACTTAACATGTATCACTAAAATTGAAATACCATCGGGGGGGCGGGGCCTGACCGCCATGCAGACAAGACGCACATGAAGTGAACTCCTGACAAGTGAAACCAAACAACTGAAAATAAAGATTTTCCACCTAAGAAAACGAGCTTTCACCCGGCTGGAGTAACTATACACTCACGGGAGACATTTCCTACGGCATCTCCTCACCTGACAGGCGGTCAACACCTGAAGCTTCTTTGGGGCCTACTTGCGGGAGTGGCTGGGGAGATACGGCCGGTCTCTCCGCTGCCTGCATTGCTGGAGCACGAAGAGGCAGAAGGGGCTCTTGATTCCTCCCCCCCGCTGTTGAGGGTCATAACGGCAACAGCGCACCAGCTACAGCTCTCCATTAAGCCCAAGCGACTAAACCCGCGCCCAAATGGGGGCGTCAAGGCCTAGCCAAGATGGCGGAGCAGTTACAGCGCAGCACTCGCCTCCCAAGCCGCCCCAGCACACAACAGAGTTTTTCTACAGGCTCTGTTCTTACCTGTGGGTGAAGCGTGGATCCGCCCAGCGACACGCCGTGGCCTGCGGTGGAACCCCCCACGTGGCTCCAACATAGCCCCCCGACAGGACAACACACACGACCCCAAACTTGAGCACGGAACCTGCGGGAGTACCCGACCTGCCTTCCAACAAGGGCCCCCAGCAACAGCCGTCCCGCACAGCGCAACCCGACACAGTGGGACTAACACAGCCGACAGCAATAAAAACCACACCGCAGCAGGGTTGGCATCTGACCGGCCAAAACAAACAAAAACCCACGGTCAACCGGAACGAGAGCACCGAGGGGGCAACCGCCTGACCGTGACAGCACAACCACTGGCACCCCACCAAATGAGCGAGCCATCCCCGAGCAAGGCATCCTCGAGATGGATGCAACAGAACACCCGGTGGGCATAGGCTGAAAGGGGAATCCTTACAGGCGTATGGTGCTGGACCCTAGCCTCTGCCTCAGGCAACTCATGGGACATGGCTACCGATAGCAACATATGACAGGGTCAGGCCAGCTATATATTCTCTAGGCCTCTTACCCTCTAAACGAACACCGACAAGCCTAATTAAGACGGACCCTCTTTTATATGACCTATTTTTATGTCTTTCTATTATGCCATTTATTTATTTATTTTTTCTTCTCTCTGCTCGGCCTGCTATATGTACTTCAAGTGTCTCATGCATGTTGAACCCACGTATTCCTAGAATGTAACCACGGAAGTCTCACGCGGCCACTAACACACACAGGAATTAGACACCAAGCAAGCCAATAGCGACATACTGTTTAAAGCAGAGGGAGGCCCAGCTAGCTTATTTACTTAAAGCTAACAACATTTTTGCATGGTTAAGCATGACCGCAGCCTTCCATTATGTTAACCTAAGAGCAAGGCGAAAAGGCATACTCGGACGACTAGCTAGTACCAGGGAGTGCTATAACAGCAAGATGTGCTAATATGTTTGGGTCATATAGAATTAAACAGGTCCCCCTGACTGCCTACTTTGGGATAATTAGATAAATCCCTAATAGCAACTGACTAACACTTTACCCTTCGCTGTGTAAAAATTAAGCATGTAACTAATAGTCCTTATCCTACAGTTCGTATACGAAATCCGCAAATGCTCCTGCTAATGCTTAACCCTTTACGTTATAGAACAGTTTGTAATTGTTTGTTTCTCATGTTAAGATACTATAAAAATGTGCTAGCCAATCACATGCCATAACAAGTCAATGTTCTAGCATGTATGTTCTTTACTATGCACAAGAAAAATAAAGAATTAAAAAAAAAAAAAAAATTGAAATACCATCAGTGTTACTATGGTATATGGGAATAAACATTTTCATTGTAGCACAATGTTGTATAGTTGTATCTTCTCAAATAAATGCTCATTACATTTGCCAGCAAAACATTTTTCAGCTTCCAGGTTTCAAAAATCGAGGTGCGCATTAGATTCAAGTAAATACGATATATTGTTGTAAGGCACTTAAATCTTGGCTCATTCTCACATCCCAAATTTGCAAGTTTATCCAGCCCACCAGGGAAGCAAAATCAATACTTTACTACCGACAATCAATTTTTTAGTACTACTTTAGTGAGTAACCCTATATATAGTTTTCCTCTGCTTGACAAAAAGGTGGAGTCAAGTCTTGCCGAAGATTGTCAAGTCCACATCCATCATTAGTAATGGGTGAAGGGAAAAGGCTCTGTGTAGGGGGGATTCTGCAAACACGCGGGGTCTTGCATGGACCATAGTGTTGTACTCTCGCACATGAGACATTGTCAGAGCTGCTTCAAGTATATGAGCTGAGTGGGGAACTCACAAATAGTGTTCTTTATTTTACTCACTGTGGTGCCTGACTGCTTTATTTATTTCTTTATCTTGAATATTGTAGTGAATGATTGAGCTATCAGCAAGTTTCTTTATCCATGCTAGATACCTGCAGAGTCTGTCCTTTGAAAGAGCATGAACATCGGCAATACTAACAGAATGTACTATTAAAAATGCTCTTTGAAAAGGTGGTGGGATCATGTGTTTACCTGCACAATTTGCTGTTATTTTTTATAGGTAGTACTCTACATGTTGTGATATTCTGTTTCTTTCTCCCCCTCACCCCTTCCAATAGCGCTGTTTTTTTGTGGAAACACTTTAACATTAACAATAAATATATTTAATTTAATGTTAGAGAAGGTTCCTTACTTAGAATACATGCCTCGACCTCTGTAAAATAAATTAAAATGCCAGTAAAGTCTGTCTAGTTCATGGGTAGTCAACCTGGTCCCTACTGCCCACTAGTGGGTGGTTTGGGATTTCAGGTGGGTGGTGGTGGGTTCTGCAGAAAATGAACGGTGGGCCTCGATGGCCATGGACCAAGGCCGTCAGGGTAGATTATCTCCCCTGCCTGCCCATGCAGATCCAGCCTTGCTGTTCGCCCTCTCGGGCTGGTGAGGAGTTTAAAAATCTCCCTCACTGGTCTTCTGGCGCTTAGTTCCAGCAGAGGGAGGGAAGGGCCTGGAAGTCTCTGTGTTCCTCCCGCGAGCAGGCTGGTTGGAGGTTTTCCGCGCATTACCATGGCAACACTCCGATACAGTGCTGTGCTCGCAGGAGGACAAGAGAGTCAGGCTGCAGCTGAAGGAGCTGCAGGCTAAAGTGAACATGCCACCACTGGACCACCAGGGTTTGCCGCATTATGTCCCCCCTCCCTGGTAAAAGGTAAGAAGAAGGCAGGGGGAGACAATAAGATAGATTTTTACATCTCATCAACCTACACACAGCATAGATCTTATGCATCTTTCACACATAGATCCTATATACCCTTCACACACAAACATACACTACACCCCTCACACACACTACACCTCTCACACACACACACACACTCACACAGACTGCCCCCTCACAACACTACACGACTCACACACACACACAGACTGCCCCCTAACACACATTCACACACAAAGTCTTCCCCCCTCACACACACACACACACACACACACTGCCCCCTGACACACTCCACATCCCTCACTCACACTGCCCCTTCACACACAATGCCCCCTCACACACACAGACTGCCCCCTGACACACACCACACCCCTCACACACAATGCCCCCTCACACACACTGCACCACTCACACTATTCACACACACTGCACCAGATACACACTCTGCCTCCCTCACACACACTGCACCTCTCTCACACACACTACACCCTTCACACACAGCACCCCTCACCCACACACTGCACCTCTCTCTCACACACACACACACACACACACACACACACAGAGCACCCTTCAAACACACAGCACCCTTCACACACACACAAACACACACCAGTAGAAAAAAATAGAATAGAAAATAGAAAAAAAGAAATAGATAAATTCAAGTAAAATTTTTTTTTTTGTAAATCCTCATTTCTAGAAAAAAAAAATTGCATTTGCGCTATAAAATTCGTTACTGCGGCACTGGTGGGCAGTAAGGAAATTTTACCATCAACATAGATACAAAACTGTGCGGTAGGTATTAAAAGGTTGATACCAACTGGAATGATAAATTTTTAAAAAATCTCATCCATCCATAGGTTGTGGGGCCCCTGATGGAGCGCAGGGCTCCAGCAACCTACCGCTATGCACCTTACCCCCCTTTTCCCATTGAATGAGACCTGGCAGCATTACCTGCTCTCTGCCAGGTCTTCTTCTTCCTGTCCCATGCGGTGCACTGTGTGATGGGAGAGGCGGGGCTAGGAGGTGACATCACTTCCTACACTCTCCTCATACACAGAGCCCTCTCACAGCCAGCGAGGCGAAGGAGCAGCAGCCTGGGAGAGACCAGAGGGAGCAGAGAGAGAGAGAGGAAATAAGGGGAAGATAGGGAATCACTCTTTTACCCCCTCCCCCCCTCTGTCACCAGTCACCCCCTCCCTCACTCTGTCACCTCCTTTCCTCACTGTCACCCCCTCCCTCTGTCACCCCCTCCCTCACACCGTCGCCCCCTTCCTCACTCTGTCACCAGTCACCCCCTCCCTCACTCTCTCACACCTCCCTCACTCTGTCACCAGTCACCCCTTCACTGTCACCCCCTCACTCTGCCCCCTGTCACCACCACTGTTACCTGTCACCCCCTCTCTGACATCTGTCTTTCCCCTCCCTCCCACACTGTCACTTGTCACCCCCTCCCTCACTCTGTCAGCTGTGTGTGCTGGGGTACCAGTCCTCAAAGTCTGGGATGTTCCAGGGCCAGTGTGCTCCTGTTATGGCCTGAGGCTGCCCTCCCGTCCTGTAGGCCTTGCCGCCTCTGGGTTTAGTTTTGGATTTGGGCGTCAGGAAGAACAGCATCGGTGGTCACAGTGGGGTTCTCTGAGGTCTGTGCTTGTATGTGTGGCCGGGATTGATACGGGGTGTCCCCGATTGTGTCAGATTGCACCGGAGCTCCGGCAATGTGCATCTGCTCCAGTCCATGTGGGCCTCGCCCCCCCCCCCCCACGGTTTACTATTTTTAAACAGTAATATTTGTGTTCAGCGAAATCTCCCGAGAATAACAGTACCCCCATGTACGGGTTTTATGGTGTTTTCAAAAGTTACTGAGTCAAATATAAGGCTTGAATTTCCTTTTTTTTCACATTGAAATTTGCCAGATTGGTTATGTTGCCTTTGAGACTGTATGGTAGCCCAGGAATGATAATTACCCCAATGACGTCATACCATTCGCAAAAGTAGTCAACCCAAGGTATTGCAAATGGGGTATGTTCAGTATTTTTTAGTAGCCACACTGGCCCAAATTAGCATTCAATTTATTTTTTTGCATTTTTCACACACAACAAATATGAATGCTAACTTTGGCCAGTGTTAGTGACTAAGTGGCTTCTAAAAAAGACTGGATATACCCCATTTGTAATAATTTGGATTGTCTACTTTTGCAAATGGTATGCCATTATAGGGGTAATTTTCATCCCTGGGCTACTATTTGGTCTCAAAGGCAACATAACCAGTCTGGAAAATTTCAAGGTGTATAAACTGAAAAATGTAATGTGCTATATTTGACCCTGTAACTTTCCAAAACACCATAAAACCTGTACATTGGGAGTACTGTTTTACTCGTGAGACATCACTGAATACAAATATGTGTACTTTATTGTAGTAACAGCTAACATTATTGTGACATTCACAGTTAACATGCCATGCATAACTAAAAAAAGTAACATTTCTTAATTTCTCAATTTATTATTTTATTCATATTACATTATGTTTAATATACAAATATTTAGTGTGACATGAAAGCCCTGTTTCTCCTGAACAAAATTACATATGATAAGTGTGGGTGCACATAATATGAAAGATGTGAATTACACCTGAACAGACAAATAGTCCAAATTCAAAGTTTTGTTTTGTTTTGATCACAACCTGTACAACTGCCTCAGTCCTTAAGGGGTTAAATAGCAGCTTCAATTCTCACAGAATTTAATAGTTTATAAAAAAAAAAAATCTCCTCACTTGGGGTTTTAGTTACAGTACATGATCATACAACACATAAGCATGCCACAACGCTATCCTATCCTAGCAACCTAATGCTCGCTCTTATGAGATTAACCTATTTACATGGGAAACCCTTCCACCTTGGTCTCTCTGTGGTTTAAGGTTAAGTAGGGCCTTGGAATGAGGCACTTGGACCAGGGTCAGATTGTCTCACTGGCATACTGTGAAATTTCCTGTTGGGTCAGCATACCCTCAGAATTGGTGCAACCAACAGGCGGCCACCTAGGGCACACCGCACGGGAGGGGGGTCAATTGCTGGATGACTGTCAGGAGGGGAGCGCACAATATAGCGCTCTACCTCCTGACAGTGACTGCATGTAGCACGTGACCAAGTGGACTGCGGTAGAGGATCTTTTTTTTCTTCTACCCGATCTGACAGGCAGTAATCACTGAGAGCAATGAACAGCTTTCTGTCAAACCAGATTGAGTATACAGAAGATCCTTCACCGGGGTCTGCATGGCCAAAAAATACAAATGGAAGCAAGAAAATCAAATTTATGCCGAAGAGTTGATTGACGAGAGAAAGACCCCTTATTAAATAGGTTTTTAACCTGATTTTCAATGGGGGTTGAATGATTTTTATTACAACTGTACATATACAGTTGTAATCAAAATTATTTAACCCCCATTCAGTATTTGTGTGTGTCTGTGTGTTTCTGTGTGTGGTAATGTGCAACTGTATGTGTGAACACTCGCATGCATGCAAACACCAAAATCAGACACAAACCCACCCCGGCATTCAAACACTATCACTACACACAAAGACACAGCTGCAGTTAAACACTGACACTACACTAAACACATCCCTGGATCCAAACACTAACATTGTTCACAAAAACAATCTTGCCTGCACACATCAACTCTACACGTAAACAAACCCTGCACCTCTTCTGACATATGTTATATACTAATATATACACACATGCTCCATACACAAACATGCCTACATATTCACATGCAGGCACTGCAAGGATGGGCAATGATAGATCAACAGCTGACAGAGCATCGTCAGACCTTTAAGACACTTTAGATATCTCTTTTGGCCACCCTTGCTCTGTGGTTGTGGTCCAGATGTTTTTGCTCCAGATTCCTCTCTGGGTGCATATTCTGAGATTCCTTAACCCTGCAATAGTAATTATTGCAGTTATTGAGAAACTGCAATAATCACTATCTAGGGTTAATTCCACCTCTAGTGGCTGTCTATCAGGCAGCCACTAGAGGGACTTCCAAGTTGTTAGGTGACTTTTGGTTGCCTAACTGATGCTGGACATCCTCATGCTATGCATGGGGACATCCAACGTCACCCAAAACCCCATAGGAAAGCATTGTTTAATGTTTTCCTGAGGGGGAAGTCCTAATGCGAGCGCGGCCATTGCCATGCATGCGCATTAGGACTCCCCTGTCGGCTGATGTCGGCGGGGAAGGAGCGGGTCCAAGTCCCTTTTGCACAATGGGGATGGAGATGGGCACTATAAGGAGCTATAGTGCCCCCAAAACAACTTTGTTTTCCTGGCATTATAGATTCCCTTTAAGGACCCGTTAAAAACAGTTTGGGGACCCCATTTTCTGTCACATTTTAGGGATTAAGAATCACTGTATTACAAACATTTATAGGGTTTTGTACTAAAGTGAGAAATGTCTGGAATTCAAAGTGAACTTCAATAGTTTGCGTAAAAGACCCGAATTAGGAAAATTTACATTGTTTTCAGTTTGGCTATCTTGGACTGACATTTAAAAATTCACTTGGAATTCACTCCGGCTATTCTCTCATTAGTGAATAACCCTGGCCGTGTGCTGAATGTTCTGAGTTCTTACTGCAAGTAGCTTTTTTTATTTGTGTTTTAAATATTCGTAATTCTAACAACATGACCACACAGATGGTTAGTTTCACAGGAAAATACTAGCATAGGTCATATTTTTTTGGTATAAAACCAGTGACGTATTGATGACAGAAATTGAAGTGACACTGGGGGCTGAATGACATTCAGGATGGAAGGAATGTAAACAGCAGATAGAAACAAGAAACTCACAAGCATGACACATTGTCTCTTCTAGTAACACATTCCAGTGCAATAATAAAACAACCCACACACACCACCCACAGCATACGCAGATTGATGGAATCTTGTCACCTCCCCAACCAAGAAAGTGGAAAGCAAAACAGTATTTTGAAATAGTAAAATCTCTAAACTGTAATTAAATGTTTTAAAATGTAGAAAGAAACTACAGCAGAATGGCCATGAGACCATTTTCCACCCGGTCCTTCGGTAGAGGTATCCCCAATGGGATTATATACAGTTATTAACATAAACAAACCGATATAGTCAGAGTGAATGTTTCCAAATTTTGTTTTATATCTTTATTGAACTAAATTAAAATAAATCACTAAGAGTAAATATAAATATGGAAGAGACAGTAAGTACACTATATACAAAAAACAAAAACATCCTATATACCCACACTTATAAAATCCAATGTAAATGGGAATTATTGTACAGGTTCAAAGTCTGGAATTCCGTAAGAATTATACTTAAACTGAACAACCGTAAATCTTATAAGTACTAGTGGAGTCAAACTCTTACACCACTAAAAACATCTATAATGAGATTGTTCAGTCATGAGTTTGTTTAACAATTAATCCTACGGAATTTAGTAGATAAGCCAATATGGATTTTATATTTATAGTATATAGACTCAGTATGTTATAGTATAGGCCCAGTATGTTTAACACAAAATGTAAACAGATAATCTTAACTGCAATTTAGATGCATGTTAACCTAATGGTATTACTGAGAGCATTGTTAAAAATTATGCTGGAAAGGGGTAGTGTAACTGAATTGCCAAGGTGCTTATACCACGGTCGGACATGTTGCTGGTTAATTTTCTGAAAACCTGTTTGTATTATTTTGGTTTTAAACTAGATATATGCAAAATGAATAAATCCAACTCCTTTGTATGGGAATTAGATATATATCTATTTGAATTAGTATATACAGGAAAAGGAAAGTGAAAAAGAGTAAAGAAGGTAAAAGAACAGTGAGGAGGATATGTTTTTCAAACGCCACGGCTAATTATAAACCCTCCCTGCTTAATTAATAAAACACTGATCATGTATCCATGCTAGCCTTTCATCGGCACGCCTGGTTTTAAAAGTTTAGCATGCTTTGAGGTTTGCTGTCATATACTGAAGCATGTCATCTGCCAGTGATGCAGAGCAGAGAATAGAAGAGAGTGGATATGAGACCATGGATACTTTTTCCATAAAGCCACAGAGGCCATGGTCTTTGGGCAACAGGTTGGAGAGAGGTGGCATGGCCAGTGGGCAAATCAAAGAACTCTATGTCACCTGCCAGCCCATTCTTTTGCCATGGGACCAAGGCTTACAGTGGAGATCTTCTCGGTTGGCACTCGAGTAGAGAAGGGTGAAAATGGCCGGTGGAGAGATCTAAGATCTCCCTCACCGGCCAGATCTTTGCTGTATCAGAAAATTGCTGTGGGTCACCACAGTAATGTTTTGATACATTCCCGCAGTGCTGTCGGGAAGGAGTTGCCTGCACCCATAGGGGTTGCAGACAAGCAGCATCTCCCGCTGGATCACCAGGGACCAGGATTCCCCTCTCCCTAGCCCAACCTAAGCCCCATGGAAGGGAAATAAACTTTTCTTTTTTTATTCTGGCCCTCAGCCAGTATTCCCACACTACAGCCCCATATCCCCCCACTATAGCCACTACCCCTTACCATAGCCCCTACCCCCACACTACAGCTAGTATCCCTCCACCATAGCTCTTACCCTCTTTACTCCATCTCCATTTTGTCCTTCAACACACACAACAGTCCCCCCACCCCCCACCACACACACACACACTACAGCCCTTATCTGTACCCCATCCCTTATCACCCCCAAACACACATACACTACAGATCCAATTTCCCTACCTGTACTAGTCGTGTAGGTTGTGGTCATGTAGTTAATAGTTGTGGTCATGTAGTTAATAGTTTGGGTTTGTTATCTTTGAGTTTAATTATATGTGTCACATTAAATTGTGAATGTTTCCAAGTACTTATGTAATGGCTATGTGGTTTTGTGGTTCTATGATGTTGCTATGAGTACTTTTTGACTGGTGTTTGATATCTAGCCGTTGGCCAAGCTTGCTGATAAGAGAGCAGTTTTCCATAGATCAGCAACAGATAAATATAAATCATTTCCAGATAAGAAAAAAAGCATTTTTCACTGAACATCTTTTATCGTTTAATTAATCCAACAAATAGGGTCATTAGTGTAGTTAGTTCTTTTGTTACGTGTTGTTTCCTTGAAGTCATTGCTTAGTCCGTCTTGCTACACCATGTATTGCCCTCTCCTCAGCACTGCCATTTGACACCATCAATCTTTGCTTCCTGGCGACCTCAACTGCCAGGAGCCGTGTTCACTATGCTACTGGCACGCATACTCAAGTGTATAAAATTAAGTCTGTATTAGATCCCACAAAATCGCTGGACCTTCTATAGATAGTCTTGCATTAGTGCAATAAGGGGCCATATAGAGATCCAATTTGTGAAGGATGATTGGAAATTGCTGGTAGAATCTCTGCTTTTTGACAAAGATTAACAAAGATTGACAATTACATGAGACACATTAGTCTCTACTTTGTTCTATGTATATCTTTTATTGTGTTAATATTTCAAAGAAGCACAGTCAAAATGAGCTTTTCATAAAAATTCTCTCTTTATGAAAAGCTAAAAAAATAAAAAAAAGTTTGTGTAAATATATCAGTGTTTTACACCATTGCATATGAATAAATAATAGTTTCTTTCCCTTTCTCTCCAGAATCTAGTGGTCTGTCCACATGATCCTCTGTTCTGATGCAACCCGTGGTAATGCCTGGTGGAGCTCGCTCTCTTCTTGACCAATGGCCGCATAGCGCAACTAGCAGCACTACCAATCATCTATCACAGGTACACTATATCTCTGCAGGATAAATGTCACATAATGGGATTGTGAATAAAAATTAAAATCCAGCGCACTGCCTTGTCTACTAAACACAACATTGGTGCTGATAGATTTTGTTAGTTTTTTAAAAACACCTAATCTAGGCAAAAAATAATGGGGGTTTAGTTACATTATCTGATCATACATTGCATAAGCCTGCCACACCGTCAATGCACCCCATCTTTGGCAGGTCCTACTCTAACAGCCGGGGGGGGGGAGGAGAGTGGGTGTCCGTTGTGGACCCTAGGTCTTGGGTCTGTAAGGGTGCTATGGATTGCTCCCTATGGGGAAGTAGTCTGGGTATTAGAGTAGCGATGTGCCCTGGCTTTGGATAGGGTAGGAGTGGACTATGTACCCTCCGTTACCTGGCGGCTTCGTGGGTGGCGAGCAGCTCACTGGTGCGGGTCAGTGCAGCTAAGATTTGCTGCAGGGGGAGGGAGAGTTAGTTGGCCCCGCTTCACTATGCCCATTGCCACCGACCCTTAGGAGACAATCTGGGGGGCCCTAGCGTGGGGTGCGTCTATGTGTTGTCACAAGGGAATGCATGGGGATTTGAGAGTATCTGGCATAGGTCTAGTCCATGAGACGCAGCAGTGGTAGTTCAGGTGGCGAACGCCGTACTGGCGTCTGTGGAATATTACAGTGCATTTTGATGTAATGAACTGGGGCAGCGAGTCCGAAAAAAGGTTTACAACAAAACATAACATAATTTTAACAGGTTTGACAAGCTTACCCTAATATTTACAGTGATATCTAGTTCTAGTAAGGATTATTTTGTAGTGGACTGAATTAGAGGATGCTCTTTTGCACTGTATACAAGCTTTAGGCTAGCAGTGTCTTGGAATTATGGAAAAAGGGTTGAGGGTGAACAAGGAGAAGCAGGGAGAAAAAAGGCTGATAGTGGTGTGAAGGAAAGGGTACGAGGTGGTGGGCGGAGGGTGTTTTGCCACCACCATGGTGGGAATTACGCACAAGACTTTTCCACAAGTTGCCCCTATTTTCATAATCTTCCCATAGAATCCATGTTTTCTGGAATGCTGAGAGAGTGTTTCTAACATGTGCAATCAGTTTGTTCATTATGAAATTATCCCTAATTTTTTGATTTACTCTCTCAACCGGGGGATTCTAATTTTCTAAACAATGCTAGGCGAGGGCTCTGTGAGCCCCCAACATAATTCTACTAAGAAGTTTAATTTTCATGGGAACCAAAGCCTAAATATCAAGAATAAACAAGGGTCTTTGCAAAATACAAGATGCAAGAGACCTCCCCTCCTTCCAGTACGACACCACTCTCAGATACATCCACCAGATGAGGTCAATGTTTCTGCATGTATTTTCGTAGAGATGTCTCCATGGAATAATATATTTGTGTGTGTATTGACCCACAATCTACAGCACCGAGAAGTGTGTCGCTGTAATGGTTATGATATTAAAAATAATATGCAGAAAGCATAGCATGATGGATCATACAGCCTACCCTAATAGAGCCTGTGTTTAGATTTCCCTATAAATGTTCAGTGTTTGGCGGGGAGGTTGCACTGAGGGGTGTGACAGTGGAATTTGTCCCAAACAAAGCCTGGTTTCATCATGAAAGGGCACAAGAGTTACAGTCCGCCCGGTGACATTCCTGCGGGGGGGCAGAGTTCCCCATACTCCCTCGAGATGCATTCCTACTTGGTGCAATCTCTCCCTAAATCTCTTTCTCTGTCACGCTCACTACATCACCTGGCCACTAATTTTCTCACCTATCTATCTATCTTTATTTCACTTATCTCTCTCCATCCCTCTCAGCTTCTCCCCCTGTTAACTACCTCTGATTAGTGCTCTGTTATAGCCCCACTATTGGTCTTTCCCCCCCTTTTTTAATTAATTTATTCTGTCTACTAGCTCTCCATCTCCCTCTATGGCCCCTGTACAGTAACGTCTACTGGTAGGGCAACTGAGGACTAACCCTTTTATATCATTGCTAGCAGCACGTCAATCTATCCTGCTGAGTTTGCCCTCTTAGTACTGTACATTGCAATTTTATCATCTTCCCCTATGTTCCTCACACTCTCACAATCTGCTCTTATAGTCTTCTTATAGCGAAATAACTGTGATACCGTATCCTGCATCTCTCCCATCGTCTCCTCTAACCATGACCTCTATACCCTCTTTTCTGTGTGCGAACATTGACTGTTATCGCTTGCCTCTCTGCTAATTCTCTAACGTCTTACACCCAGCTTTACTCGCTTTCTTGCAGGTACTAAATTCCGGGGACGCTGCAGAAAATAACATTTTCTCCGAAATGAACCTGTGCTGGAGTGAAATAAAGAAGAAATCTCACAGTTTGAGGTACTGTGAACTATTTTACTGCCATTAAGCAAGACACATGCATTGTATATGTTATTCCCAAAAGATAACTTTTCTGTAACCTAAATGGATTACTTAACCTATTGTATGCTTTGTATGCTTTTATGATTTTTTTTTTCTCTGTACTTTGTAACTCCGGTGACAGATGGATTGTTAAATACACCGTTGTCATTAGTCTGTTTTTTCCCTAAATTAAAACAATTATTTTACTATTGCAAAGAGAGATGGATTCTGTGGATTCAGTTTATTTATTTTTTGATTGGTCACTACAGACATCCAAAGAGTTTATTCCTGCTTCTCCTATCCCTTAATAAGTTTTTTCATTTTGTTTGATTATTTAATTAATATTTTGGATCCTATTTGATCTACAAGGCGAGTCAAAAGTCTGGAACCATATACATGCCAGAAAGACCCTTAAAGGATCATTTTCTATCTGTAAACATTCATGTGCTTGTGAGGGTGCAGTATGAAATATCTTCGAAGTACCTCTTATACATGGTGCTTTGTTGCAAACTTTTGGCTCACCCTGTGTTTTCTTTTAATAATATTTAATAATAGTAAGCTCAATAAATGTACAAAGTTTACCTATCTACTTAGGGTTCTAGTTTGTTATGTTAGCTGATTACTCTTGGCAGTTTATTGACATCTATAATGAGTGTATAAATTGTTACCTGCTTTAGTGGACTACCAGTAGAGAGTTCGTGCCAGAAAGGGATTACCGGTACCTTCAGGATGTATCATTGTGGATACTAAATATAATGAGCAAAACTTTGGTTGAAGGATAAAATGCATTTACTTTACAACTAATCATTTAATAAACAACAACCTTTCCCTTTTGTTAAAATGAGTTTATTCTGCATTAAGGAAAAGTGGCCCATGGTTAGAAACCTGTAGTTCAAGAAAGAAATGGGTGGTATTGAAAAGGGACTACGAAATGATAGCTAGGGAATGCTAGCAGATGGCTGTATGTGTGTTCTACCTGGTATACTGCATTGTTCATAAAATATACACTTTCAAATCTAACAATGTGTTAATAGCGATGGAACGGATATTTACAAAGAATAGTAGTAATGCCTTGTGTGACCAGCAATAAACACAGGGTTAAAACTTAATTATTGGAAGAAAGCATATACCAATATATATAGTGAAAAAACATAGTGGCCAGTAGGGGTGAAATAGTCTCGGAGGAGATGATTATTTCCCCCCATAATAGGGCACTCAGATGACATTTAATGTCCCATCATTTATAAATTCTTCCAGCAGTTTATTAATAGAAGTAGCAATGTCCATCCTATAGGCTTGCTTGGGTAGGGCTATCTTCACTTAATGTTCCCATTTGTCAAATATGTTTTGTTAAAATTTAATGTTTGTCTTGTTTACATATTGTACAGTGCTACAGAATATGTTGGGGCAATATAAATAATTTTAATTGGGGATGCATGTATCAAATAAAGAAGTGTGTGATAGGGAACAGACTGTTCTAAGGTATCAAGTAAAATGGCACTCTATATTCTGATTATACTTTTTGCCTGAGGCCACATTGCATAGAGCTGATTTTGATGTACTCTATTGTTTAGCTCTGGCTTGTCCCTCAAGACATGGAATTTTAGGTAAATTCTGATCTTCTCTGGCCAATGATGGGAGCCCTCAGACTAATGTCTGCCTGCTAAGCTATTATTGCTGAATGTAATACTGGTATACTGCTAAAACACTTTATTCCAAAAAAAAAATAGAGATCAGATTTTTTGCCATTGTAACTTGTAGTTTTTGTTTGTAACTAGTTGATCGGACTACTTTGTAAACATTATAGTATATTGATATAATAAAATGGAGACATTTGCCCCATCTCACAGATATCTTAGGCTATTGCCCTCACTACTACATGGCCATCAGATTTATGGATGTCAATAGCAATATCACTGGTAGTGGTGTGGGGGACTTGTGACTTCACTTTTTGTTTCAAATTATTTTATTGAGGGTTTTTTTGCAATTTGAAAAAACTTAGACCATTTAATATAAATGTTATTTAATTTTTTGGTAATCTAATAAGGGGTACAATTTCTTTGCTTTGGTTGACACAAACATATGTGATGTGTTCCCATGGGGCCAGTATAATGTGCCACACATTACTCTCTGCTTTGATGGGCAATGAGGATGTGTGTGCATTATAAAGAGCATAGGCAAGAGGGGGAATTATCTTGCCCCAGTCTTAATATGCTCATGTTACACTAGATGGGTAAAGGGAAAGTGTAAAGAGAGCACTATTCAATCCTGCAAAGGTTTTGGTAATTTTGCGTTAAATCGTTTCACTTTTATATTACCATAATAATACTGATAAAAAAATAAATAGATACATAGATAATAGCCAATAAAACTTAAAGGAACACTATAGTCACCTAAATTACTTTAGCTAAATAAAGAAGTTTTAGTGTATAGATCATTCCCCCGCAATTTCACTGCTCAATTCACTGTCATTTAGGCGTTAAATCTTTTTGTTTCTGTTTATGCAGCCCTAGCCACACCTTCCCTGGCTATGATTGACAGTCTGCATGAAAAAAAAAACTGGTTTCCCTTTCAAACAGATTTAATTTACCTTAAATAATTGTATCTCAATCTCTAAACTTTAATCACATACAGGAGGCTCTTGCAGGGTCTAGCAAGCTATTAACATAGCAGGGGATAAGAAAATCTTAATTAAACAGAACTTGCAATAAAGAAAGCCTAAATAGGGCTCTCTTTACAGGAAGTGTTTATGGAAGGCTGTGCAAGTCACATGCAGGGAGGTGTGACTAGGGTTCATAAACAAAGGAATTTAACTCCTAAATGGCAGAGGATTGAGCAGTGAGGCTGCAGGGGCATGTTCTATACACCAAAACTTTATCATTAAGCTATAGTTGTTCAGGTGACTATAGTGTCCCTTTAAATCATTACACACAAAGCATTTGTAGGGTGTAGATATCAATAGCAACAAATGGCTGTCTCTCTGCTATACTCTCAGATTTAAAGGGATAATATAGGCATCAAAACTACTTTAGCTCAAAGGATTACTCCAGCCACCATGACCACTTCAATGATTTGAAGTGGTCATGGTGATAGGAGTCAGTAAGTGCCGTGTTTCTCAAAGAGAAGCCTGTGTCCTATTCACATCTCTCTTGACTGTGACACACACAGCCTGCGGGTTGTTAGAAACCTGTCAGCTTCAGAATTCCGATATTTAATTTTGACAGATTGATCTACTGGGCCCACGTCACATGCAGGGCAGAATGGAAGCATCATGTGCTAATTTCCCTCATCCACCATAGAGTACAATTTGCAAATGTAAAAAAACTGATGTATGTCAGATGGGGTGTTTTAGTGTTTTCCAAAAGATGTTTCAGATGTTTCATTATGAGTTTTTGCCTAAATTAGTCGTAATATTTTGTCCCTGTACTTTTTGTACACATATTTCAAGTTCTCAGTTAGGCTAATGATCACATTGCCCCGGAGGGGTTATTGCTGGACTAATGTTTCCCACATTAGCTTGTTACATGGAGTTCCCAGTATATTCTGGGTACAAAGACTATTGCTAGCCCTGCACCATGGGCAGAAGCATCCAAGGGCTTGACAGCATGCTACAACAATCACATGGCAGACACAGCATGAAAAAGTGTGTAGATGGACTGCTACATCCCTGGGGTGTCTAACGGTAACCTGGTACAAATGACGCAGAGTCCCGCATGCCACCAGTGCTTCTCTATGGATAAAGGATATCTAGCCTAAACTTTTCAGTTCTGTGGTCAATTCTCAGTAATTTACATTTGAGTAAATAGCCCTTTTTATCTTATAATAAATAGTTTTTATATAAATGTACTTTGTACTAAATATGTAATGTTCTATATTCCAGAGCTCGCCTAGAAGCATTTTCAGATCCTACTTTCAAGTTGCAGCCGCCCCTTCAAGAGATCATTGACTGGCTAGGCCAAAAAGATGAGGAGTTGTCAGCCCAGCTTCCTTTGCGAGGTGACCTCTCTATGGTCCAGCAAGCCAAAGATAACAATTTGGTGGGTATTTACCATGGAATCCAGAAAGCCATACCAAGAGGTTATCACTTGGTGCATGACATTTAAATACATATACTTTAAGTAAGCTATAGACGTTCTATCGAAAATTAACACAGTGCACCAAAATGGTGTGATCTATGAAGGCTTATTAAACTATTTTGGAAGAAGTTCCTCGATTTCTTGAGAGAAGAGTCAGAAGTTATAGAGTTTTAAAAGGAGAGCAGTTATAAAGACACCAGACCCACCAACATATCTGCAGGAATACCTTTATCAAGGGAGGATGAAGACATTCCTGTGTTTGCGTTTTACTGCTCTCCTTTTGAACTCTACAATTCCTGACTGCTGGGTATGTGTACCAATTGTATATTTTCTTGTTATCCACTATAAGATCGACCCATGTGTATTGATGTATCCCTGATCTTTCCCCGTTGAGCCTAATACTGTGATTGTAGTTTGTTAGTGATGGATTGTTTGTGTTTGTACTTATTGTATGTTTGATATAGTATTTTCAACGATTGGGTATTATAAAGTATATATGTGTTATGCATATTGTTGTGCGTCTGTATGTTTGATTAACTAGCTTTTTTGCCCTGTGCAGTAACAGGATCCCATACCGTTGAGTACCATTATCTGTACTGCAGTGTATTTTGCATTAAATGTGCTTTGTTCGAGTGACCTCCATAACTGGTTGTCCCATAATTCTGCTAAATCCTGTTTTCTGCACTTATACAGTTGCGTGATTAAAATAGGACATGAATGTAAGAGCTGGAGATGAATCAGAGAGAGAACATGTGAAGGGCAAACACGGTACAAATGAAGGTTACAGACATACAGAAAGCAAACTTGTGACTTAGAGAAGAAGTGTAGTTTGAGGTAGAGTTGTTTAGAGCTTTGTCGGTTAGTGTCGGTATTTTAAAAATGATCCTAGAGGGAAGGGAAGCCAATGTAAGCATTGTGACCAAATAACTTCTCTCTGTTCAGGGACGTGAGTTTTCCTTTAGACAAGCTATCACACATACACTATGTGTAAAAGCTTTTCTTTATCTATAATAATTTATTGCAAATGCTTCAAAGTTTTGGCAGCGTTATTTCTAATGCACTAACTTAGTATTGCATTTTATTTATTTCTTTTAAAAATTCTTTATTTGTACCTCACTTCACTTATAAGTACAAAATCAAGTATAACACTGTCAGAAGATAGATACAATATGCACATCATAGCCAGTAATATCACATCATAAATATAAGTAGTGAAGAGAGGTTTTTTTTGACAAGTTGTAGCACATACATGTAAAACACAACTGATGTATTCCATGTGGCTCATTACAACCCCCTGGAGAGTTTACTCCCGCCCATACTACAACAGATGATATTCTAGTACCAACATGAGAAATGTGGGTGGGGGGGATATTACCCTCTATAGTATGCTTATATGGGTGCTCTCTAGTCGTCTAGTATGAATTAAGTGAAAAGTGTACAGAGGGATCAACGCTTAAAAACCTAAATAAAGGCAGCACACCAAAAGGATAGGGCTCCCTCAGAGGCCCTATAGGTATATAGGTATAAGGAAGTAGAAAAAGGTGACGTCACAGAGATAATTTGTACAATTAATATAAGCAAGTAGTAATATAGAAATAAACAATGATATATAATACAGAGAGAGAACAATACAAAAATAATAGGTATATATATATATATATGTTTATACCTTTTTATTTCTTTATATATATATATATATATATATATATATATATATAGAACAGTCACAGTTCTATCTGAGGTAGAGACGTCTATGGAGTAGTGGGATCAAGGGGTTTGTGGGATCTGTATGAAAGAGAAAAGAAAATCTAATAGTGCAATAAAAAGGTCTATATGGTCCTACTCACGTTTTTGAGAGCTAAAAACTAGCTCTACTATAAACAGCGTACAGTGGTATAATCCCCACTTATGGGATATGTGAGGGAGTATTGTAAGTAGATATCTCGTCAGATGGGGACCATATGTAACATAAAAAACACTAGTGCTCACTGTGATAAAACCAGGAGAGTGTATAAAAATAACAAATGGTTACTCACATTTAATTGGACAGACGCACTGCTCAATGATAGGTCCTAAGTGGTATAATCCCCACCAAGGATGCTTTGGTATCTCTCTGGAACAAGCAAAACTCAGATGCCAGGTAGTAAAATAATAAATGGTAAAAAAGATAAAATGGCTAACTCACAACAAAGAAAGTGGCCAAAATTCCTTTATTAAAATACAGTTAGTTAAAATTTCTACAACGCTTTTCTCCCCTTAGGGCTTTCTCAAGTGGGTAGTAGTATGAATTGCCTTATGGAACCCAAGTAGGTCCAGATCTGGAGATCATCCCTGTGGAAAAGAACTGTAGTTCAGAGGGTGAAAAAGTACATCTTCAATTGAGCTAGCAATCAATAATAAAAGTGGTAGAAAAAAAATAATAAAATAAATAAATAAAACTTAAACGGAAACGTTACAGAAAAGGATAACAACAATCCTAACAGAATGTAGGTTGTATTTAACTTTCCAGACTATATGGTGCTCACTGCTGCCTGGGGACAGAATACTGAGTGCCAGTCAAGTTGAGTGACCAAAGCCTTGGATGAGTGTCCCGAGGGGAGTTAAGTGGTAAATACAGGGATCTTCCTTAGATCCAAGCCGGTCAGGCGAGTATGTGTCGCTCTGGTGACATTACTAAGGCCCATTACGCTCATGCTGTCTTTTAGGTCTTCGAGACTCCGCACTGTGTGATTTTTTTTCCCTTGGTAGGAGAACAGAAGTAACCAGGGAATGCCCCAGCGGTAGGGAACTTCCTTGTTTTGGAGGACTTGCAGCATTGGCCTCATTGATCTTCTCTAGGCCAGTGTGAGGTCGGAGAAAATAAGAATCGATGAGCACTCAAACTTCGAGGACAAAGGAATGAAAATAGTGTTTACTGCTTTTCCTCTAACCTTCCTGAGGAATAGGACCCTGTCCTGAGTGGTCTGAAAGTGGACAATTAAATCAGCTGTTACTGTGGCAGGAGTAGTTAATGACTTAGTTAGCTGGAACATGCCATCTATTTTCATTCCTTTGGCCTGTTTAGGTGACATTAGAGTTTCACACAGCCTTCTGATGTAGTGTGGCAGCTCCTCTGTGGCAATTGCATCAGGGATGCCCTTAAGTTTCAAGTTGTAGTGTCTTCTTTGGTCTTCCAGTGTTTCCATTCGGGTCTCCGTGGGTTGCTGGGTCCGCTGGATTTCTTCCAGCTTTTGCTCCACAGCTGCCATCTTTGTGTCTTGAGCGCCAGCTGTTGAGTAGGCATTTCCCATGGCTGTTTTACATTGGGAGATTTCGGCTGCAATGTTGGAGCGCAGCTCCCCCAGCATAGATTTAAGCAGGGTTGCTGTGACTGGCTATCTTCAGCAACAGAGGCAGGTTTCATCTCAGTCTGTTTACTGCTTGACGTGCCTGTTTCCGGGACTGCAGCGAAGTCCTCAGGTGAGTATTCATCATCTTGTGGTGCAATGTTGGACCATGCGGCCTGTTTTGAGCATTGAAGGAGGTCGCCAATATCTCGGCTCGTGGGCTCCTTATCCGACCTGGACTTTTTAGTCTTGCGATCCATGACTTTGAGTGCCAGTCTAGGATCGTGTTTCCACCCTATCTGGGGTAAGTATTTCAGCTGGGTTTCTGCTGTTTCCACTAAAGTATAGTGGAGCTCACACAGCATGCGAACACTTGGGTTCGATGCTAGCTCCGTCCCCCGCATTTTATTTTTGATTGATATTGACTTTCAACTGTTTTTTATACTACTCTGTCCCTTATCATACTTTCTATCTCTCTTTTAAAAAAAAAATTAAAAAAATTATTTTGCACTTTTTAAACTCTTTCTGAACTCGATACAGGTGTTTATGGAGGAGATAAAATCACGTGGCCCCTATATATATTCTGTCTTGGAGTCAGCTCAATCCTTCCTCACACAGCATCCCTTCCAAGATGACACTGAGGACACGTCAACACAGGGAAAAGGTAAGATCTCCCCCTTTCAGTAACTCTTGAATTTTGTACGTTGGCACTGATGCTGCTTAAATTTATCGTGGATGAATTATATGTCTAAATCTCTATCATTCATCTGAAATGATGAGTCAAATGCCAGGAGCCAGGTACCCATAAATACTACTGTTACATAATGATGGGATTAATCTAAATTAAAATTTCACTCCAAGCACCATCACAACTCTGAATGAGTTCCAAATTGATGATTCAGATAGTACCCTGCAAACACTATAACTGATATAATTTCTGCAGCTAAAAATCTAGCTGTCAATCTGGATAGAATGGCTGCCTGCAACCTATTTTGTCTACGTTATGTATGTGGTGTTTTCATGCAGCACTTACATCTTGGATTGTGTTCTTTTTCCTACCCCATAAGAGAGCCATGACTACAGACTACTGCTTTGCAAAAACAGCTTAACAGTTAATAGGGCCGCTATTTGACGAGTGGAATTACTTATTCCGTACTCATATGCTGGACAGGAGGTTATGGGATACTAATAAACCCTAATAGTTGCAGGTACATCACCTAAAGAGTACATTTACCAGGAACTTTAAAGGTAAGTATTTTAAAAAAATATTATTTATTTATTGTACTGTTTTTAATGCATTATCTGTAGAATAAATTAAAATTAGAGGGTGTACAACCAAGTTACCAGTGACATATTTTCCTATGGGCATTTTAGTAAAGAGATAATGACAATCATTCCTTCTTCTTGTTTTTTCTTTTGTCATTTTGGTGCATCTTTTCATCTTTGTGTATCACTTTAATATTTGTGTAATATTTTTCTAGCCATATTTAGCATTTATGCTCCCTTAAACCACAGGCAGTGATGCACTCTGCCATTGACTGTCACGTTATCTTACTACTTGTCAGCCTTTCCTAGATCTCCTAATTCTGTACCCATGTAGTATACATCGTGAATCTCTTACTCCTGTCCAATGCCTTCTTTCCCAGTCTTTTCCCATTTTTCATGGATAGTCTGTCTTTCTTTCTCTTTGAATTTTTTTTTTTTTAGATACGTCTCCCAGAAGCCGCTCACAGAGCCTCAGTCGATTGATCTGGAAGCAGGCTAGTGTTGCCAGTGAGTTGTGGGACAGACTGACTGCTCGCAGTCTGGATCAGCACCGCCACCTCGAAAGGACTCTAGAACAACTTCGAGAGCTTGGTGTTTCCATGAAAGAAGCAGGTGAAGCTCTGGAACAGGCTGAGAGTGTCCAATCCACCTGGGAACCTATAGGAGATCTGTTCATAGACTCTCTTCCAGAACATATACAGGCAACAAAGGTGAAAATAAAAGAATGTTAGGAAAACGCCGGAGCATGTCTAAACACACCACTTACCTATGCATTATTATTTAGCTTTTTAAGGAGGAAATGTCCCCTATAAAGGATACTGTGAAATTGGCGAATGACATTGCACATCAGCTTGCTGTGTGTGATGTTCACCTCTCCATGGAGAACGCAAGAGAGCTTGAGCAGATCAACAACCGGTGGAAACAGCTTCAGGTATTTAACTATATCAATATGAATTAAAACATATATGAAAGCAGAACATATCAGTAACCAAAACCCTTACACATAACGACAAACTGGTGAATCCCAAAGTGTAAGTGGAGTGCTTAACCCCTTAAGGACACATGACGTGTGACATGTCATGATTGCCTTTTATTCCAGAAGTTTGGTCCTTAAAGGACCACTATAGTGCCAGGAAAACATACTCGTTTACCTGGCACTATAGTGCCCTGAGGGTGCTCCCACCCTCAGGGTCCCCTTCCCGCCCGTCTCTGGAAGGGGGAAAGGGGTTAAATCTTACCTTTTTCCAGCGGTGGGCGGAGAGCTCTCCCCCTCCGATCCTCCTCTTCTCCTCCCCGTCGGCTGAATGCGCACGCGCGGCAAGAGCTGCGCGGGCATTCAGCCGGTCACATAGGAAAGCATTCATAATGCTTTCCTATGGACGCTGGCGTGCTCTCACTGTGAAAATCACAGTGAGAAGCACGCAAGCGCCTCTAGTGACTGTTAATGAGACAGCCACTAGAGGATTAGGGGGAAGGCTTAACTCATTCACAAACATAGCAGTTTCTCTGAAACTGCTATGTTTATGAAAAAATGGGTTAACCCTAGAGGGACCTAGCACCCAGACCACTTCATTAAGCTGAAGTGGTCTGGGTGCCTAGAGTGGTCCTTTAAGGGGTTAAATGCATGCTTGCCCTTAAACAGCACAAGTTCAATTATAACATAAATAGTAAAGGAAAAAATGGAACATGTATGTTGTAATAACATCAACATATATGTGGGAAACACATTTAATGTGAGAAATACATAAATAGTAATGTACTCCATCTCCCAAAAAGAGATCCTCGATTGATACCATCAAGAAAACAAAATGTTTAGTTAGGACACCCTTTTTCTGAAGACTATCTAAGAAACTGACCTTCCTCTTCTCTTACTCCTACATAATATTTTTTTTCAAGGAGGGTGATTGCAGGGACCCCTTCTGATTTATTTCTTTATTTTATTAAGGCACATTTGTGAATATTATGATCATGTGGATTTTTATATTCCTTAGTTATTGTTTTTTAATGTTTGCCTCAGTGCTGCAGTAGAGAGACGTGTTTTTTTACAACAAGGGTTTTTACTAATTGTTTGATCATTACAGCATAAGGTTTGGTTTAGGACCTAATAAATAGAATTTGTAATGGGTGTGCAGAAATGTTAGGCAGATTAGCACAGACTTACAGGATAAGAGGCACATAGTAGTTTGTATAATTTATTTGCAAGATAGATCTCAGGGTAGTGAATTTTGTTTGTCCTTAATGATATTTCTGAATTAACAAATTGAACAAATGCATCATATAATTGATGCACGTAGTTACCATGAAACTCATACTCCTTGCATAGAAGGCCTCTGTCCTACTAGTGTACAACCCAATTACCAGTGACATATTTCTCTTTCCAAGACCTCTGTAGGAGAACGCCTTCGCCAGTTGCAAGATGCCCACCGTGACTTTGGGCCTGAGTCACAGCACTTCTTGTCCTGTAAGTTATTTGTGAGTGATTGATATAAAATATCTTGGTAAAAGGCTTCATGAGGTTAATTATTTGTATTATAGGTGTTAATCTTTTTTCATTTGAAGAATCAGAATGATTTTAGCCTGATGCATGCATGTATGCATGGTTACAATTTAGCAGCTCACATGCAAGGAGTATTCTTTTAAGTGTTTAAGGTAAATCATTCTAAAATTGATATGGCTGATATGGCTATTAGGCTATAGTTAGTAGTACATAAAATTGGTGGAGAATGTGGGAACTTTTAACAGTTGCATCATAAATAATGGCTGTATTGTCTTCATTACAGCATCAGTTCAAGTTCCGTGGGAGAGAGCCATATCCCCCAACAAGGTGCCATATTATATAAAGTAAGTGACAGTCAAGAATGTTAGTCTTTGTGCGTCTTTCCATAACTTTCTTCTGTTGGCTCTTTACGGTCTTTTCTGGATTTTACTTCTATTTCTCTCAGACCTCAGTCTTTACGTTTTTCATATCTTTTAGTCACCAGGCTCAAACCACCTGCTGGGATCATCCCAAGATGACAGAGCTCTACCAAGCTCTGGGTGAGAAATTCCTGCCCTCTACAAGTATTTCCTAAATCTGTCTTCTCAACTTTGCATCATATCTGTTTTCTAAACTCTGCATCTTGACCTGTACACAGACACCACTAAATAATTTACATGTATTACATAATCACGTGTGCACATATGAATAACTAACATGTTCATGTGTTTATGGAAGTATATCCACAAGTATTGTGTGGCCATGAACTAAGCTCCTTTTTTTTGTTCTATTTCCAGGGGATTTAAACAACATCAAGTTTTCTGCCTATCGGACTGCAATGAAACTGCGAAGAGTGCAAAAAGCTCTAAGATGTGAGCTCTGAAAATAAGGGGGGAAATAAAGGGTGGGGATTTTAGACAGGTGAATTAGCATTACTAGATGGACAATGTCAATACTCAACTGGCATGACTGGTTTATAATGGAGTAGTTTGTGACATTTTAAGATGGAGTATATTATATTATGTAAGAACATGGTAACAAAATGATGAGTGGACATTTTGTATCCCCATTTAGAGTGGCTCAGGGTTCTTGATTAGATTTTATTTTACTTTAAATAATTCATGATTTCTATAAGAAGACAATAAGGTTGAATTATCAGAACGTCCAGAAGCTTTGGTTCAGTATTTAGGATGCTTACAGAAATTTGCATTATGATCGCTAACTAATTGCTCCAAATTTCTTTCTCTCGCTGTTTATTTTACTTTCCTCTACCATTCTGGTTCCCCTCACATTTCTTTTTGAATTATCTCGACTATCTGTCTTTATATATATATATATATATATATATATGTAAATAAGATGGTGCAAAATAAACACAAGAACTGTGGATACAAATTGTAGCAACCAACAAAAAAAATCCTGGTTATAAAATTAAAAAAGGTATTAATAGTAGTGAGTTGGTGTGCAGTACATTAAATCACTATTAGGCAGCATATAAAAAATCCTGTATATAAATCTTAAAAATCAATAAAAGTTTCCATAGTGCTCATTATTTAGTGAATATGTGTCCAAGTAGTAGTGTTAAATGAGTGTATTTTAACTCAATAGGCAGTGGTATAGTGACATCCTCAAACACTAACACACAACGTTATACTTGCACAATATCCGCAATTAAAGAATCTAGGAGATAAACACAAAAAGAAACAAATCTAGTGCAATATTGTCCTAAATAACATAAACAATAGCAGAAAGGCTAATGTAAAAGCACTCGCAAACACAGAGTTGTTAAAGTACCACTCTTCACTATCGGACTCAGGGAGGATCAGCCCCTGGTGTGCGTAGGATCCTATCGATACACTTCCAGCTGTCAGGTAAAGTTTACAAGTATTTATTAAAACAAACAGATTAAAAAACTTTTTCCAAGATCCGCATCAGTATCCCATAACAGCTCACCAGCCTCTTCTACAATTGAGAGTGTGTCTGGGATGAGCAACCATAGACCCCACAAGTCCCACACTTCTCTCAGGCTTGGTTGCACGTTCACTGTCTACTTCCTGGTTGCAGCTCGTGAAGCGTTTTCCCCTCCTCCTGGGGCTTTCTCAAACGTAAGTGTATCCTCCTTCTATAGTCCGTATGAAATACCCTTGCTCATTAACCAATTAAACTTCAATCATGCATTTCTAAATTAGAAATGCAGTCCAGCAATCACATAAAACTTAAAGAAAGTACATATTCTTGACATGTCTGTGCAATTCCCCTGTTGTATTTATCGCTGATTCAAATGTAATGTCATCATCATACTTGAAAATTTTGAATAAAAACAAAATAAACAAAAAAAAACAAAGAAAGGAAGAAAAGGGTTAAATACAGAATCCTATAGTTCTTATGTTCATTGCTTAATATAAAAATCGTGTCAGATAAAAGAATAAATCACTCACTCCCAGTAAGTTAAATATATCCATATTCAGAATTACTAATGTAAACCATAAATAGCACATCAAAAAGACTCATAAGAAGTATATTTAGTATCAAAAAAGGATAAGTCTCCTAAATGTAGTTTAAAAAAACAAAAACAATGTCATTTGCTCAATCGATATAAATACATTATATCCATACAAAACTCCTTCATAAAATAAACATATACATATGTATTATAAAAAGGTGGATTAACCACACAAAATAAAAAATAGTTAAAAAAAACGTAAAAAATCTAAAAACACAGGAATTATAAAAAATTATATAACTCAAAATCTATGTTAAGACCAGATGGAATCAAAGTCTCTAAATAAAAGATCCATTTCATCGCTTCCTGTCCGATCTTCCTTTAAAACCCCATTTTATACCTATAAATTCCAGACCACTCGGATCTTGATTGTGCATCTTTTTAAAATGGTCTGAAACACTGTGGTTTGACACCCCCTTTTAAATATTATAAATATGTTCCCGTATCCCACTTCAGTCCGGTTTACGCGCTAGGTACTCTTTTCCGTGACCTTTCTGCAGCTTTTGACACTGTTGATCATCAACAGCTTCTTCTCATCCTCCGCAATATCGTTCTACAAGATATTCCTCTCTCCTGGTGCTCCTCCTACCCCTCCCAGCACTCTTTCAGTGTTTCTTTCTCTGGCTCTGCTTCTTCTCCCCAACTCCTCTTTGTTGGCGTCCCCCAAGGTTCAGTCCTTGGTCCCCTACTGTTCTATATCTATAATGCCTCCCTTGGTAAACTCATTAGCTCCTTTGGCTTCAAATATAATTACTTTCGGACGACACGCAAATCTATCTGTCCTCACCTGATCTCTCCCCATCCCTCTTGACTAGTGTCTCTGACTGCCTCTCTGCTATTTCTAACTGGATGACTGCTCACTTCCTTAAACTCAACTTGACCAAAACTGAATTTCTGGTCTTTCCTCCCTCAAGTGTTGCTACTCCTGTGTCTGTCTCCCTCCAAGTCAATGGTGCTACCATCATCTCCACCACGGTGGCTCGCTGCCTAGGGGTTCTCTTTGACTCCGACCTCTCCTTCATGCCTCATGTTCAGTCTATCGCCAAATCCTGCCGCTTCCATCTCAAAAACATTGCGCGTATCCGACCCTACTTAACGCCAGATGCAACCAAGGTGCTGGTACATTTCACTGTCCTTTCTCGCTTTGACTACTGTAATAAGCTTCTCAGTGGTCTTACATGCTCCCAACTTGCGTCGTTACAGTCCATAATGAATGCGGTGGTGATGCTCACCTCCCACGCCTCATCCTCCTGTCAGTCCCTACACTGGCTTCCTGTAAGATATAGGGCTCAATTTAAAATTCTGGTTCTTGCTTTCAAATCTCGACATAATGCTGCTCCCACCTATCTATCCTCCCTAATACACAAGTATGTCCCGTCTAGGCCCTTATGCTCTGCTGACGACTTACGTCTACCTTCTGTCCGTACTCCCACCTCTGATGCTCGCCTTCAAGACTTCTCGAGGGCTGCACCTTTCCTGTGAAACTTACTTCCCTCCTCCGTTAGATGCTCACCCAGTCTCCACTTCTTCAAAAATCATTAAAAACCCACTTCTTCATAAAAGCGTATCAATTAAACTGTTAATAGCTCCCGACTGATTCCTCTCTTGCAACTGTCATCAGTCTAATACTAATACTAATAGTGATTTAATGTACTTCGCACCAACTCACTACTATTGATATCCCCACCATCTACCTTTATCTTTTTTATTTTTAAATTCTTATATTTTATTATTTTTTATTTTACTGCTCTCCCATGTTCTTATATCTGCGTGTTCATAAACTAGCCACTCAAACTCTGTTTTCTCGTAATCTTTACTCTTTTTTCATTCTCTTTCTCCTTTTCTATGTCTCCTTTTTTAGTGGACTTAGTCACACTCCCCCTCCTCTCCCAGATGTTTAGCTGTGATATCCTGCAGTCTCCAGATCGCTGTCTTGATGTGCTTGATGTAATCCGCTGCCTCAGTTCATTGTATGAAAGACTAGAAGAAGACCGTGGCCTTCTGGTCAATGTCCCCCTGTGTGTGGACCTAACTCTGAATTGGCTTCTAAATGTTTTTGATGGGTATGAATACATAATTCACAATTACTTCTCTCTTATGGTATAAAATGGCTGGAGAAATGGAATGGAAAATATTTATATATGGATCAGAGTTCCATTTTTATTTTGAATTTAGTCATCTGATTAATTGGTTCTGAGGTCAATATCCCTGGTAAAGCAGATAGTTTGATGTGTGATGACGCATACATTTTAAATTTGCACATATCATTCCGAAGCTATTATGTATATATCAAACATAATTGTTCAAATTGCTGTCTTCTATCATTCACTTTCCTCCACTCTTTTTTAGTGCCCGCAGTGGTCGTATTAGAGTTCTGTCTTTTAAGGCAGGAATTGTGTGTCTGTGTGACTCCGACGTGAAGGGGAAGCTGCAGTGTGAGTATAATGGTGACAATGAGGGGTGTTGTTTCTTATTTGTGAGTAGATGTTATGGAAGAATAATGAATAATGAAATTAATGAATTGAAGTTCTAGAATTCTCAGAGTGTGCAGTCTATCAGCAATGCAGCAAGCTTCACACAGGCTTGTGTAATCAATTTAATTTGAAAGAAAGGAAATCTGAGGTGAAACTATGTTAGAATGAGTGACTGTACATTTTTGGGAAGAATGATTATACAATGTGAAACTCAGGAAGGAAAAGAGCAAGAGTAGGGAATGATGGCCAAGATGGAGTTGTATATATCTATTTTGGAAATAATTATGATGAATAGTGAGATGCTAGTGAAGTGGGATAAGTGTGTGAGAGAAATTCTACACATTGTTTGTGGATAGCAGTAAATAATTTTATTTATTTACTCAGACAAGTAGCTATCATACAATACACTGATCAGCCACCACATTAAAACCACCTTCCTAATATCATGTAGATGCCCCTCGTGCTGCCAAAATAGCTCTGATGCATCTAGGCATGGACTCCACAAGACATCTGAATGCACCAAGACATTAGCAGCAGATCCGGCAAGTTGCAGTGTGGGGCCTCCATGGATTGCATTTATTGATTCCGTACATCCCACAGATGCTCAATCAGATTGAGATCTGAAGAATTTGGAGGCCAATGCAACACCTTGAACTCTTTCTCATGTTCTTCAAACCATTCCTGAAAATTCTGTGCAGCGTGTCAGGGTGCATTATCCTGCTGAAAGAGGCCACTGCCATCAGATAACATTGCCATGGAGGGGTGTATGTAGTCTGCGACAATCTCTGGGTAGATGGTACATGTCAAAGTAACATCAACTAGAATGCCAGGACCCAAGTTTTCCCAGCAGAACATTGCCCACAGCATAACACTGCCTGTGCCAGCTGACCTTTTTCCATAATGCATCCTGCTGCCATTTCTTCCCCAGGTGAACCATGCACATATACACGGCCATCCACCTGATCTAAAAGAAAACTTGATTCTTCAGACCAGGCAACCTTCTTCAATTGCTCCATGGTCCAGTTCTGACACTCACGTCCCTATTGAAGACACACTGACAGTCTGAGACTAAAAAGACCAATACACAGCAATTTGGGATGCACTGAGTGTTTTGATACCTTTCTATCATGACCAGGATTAAGTTTTTCAGTAATTTGAGCTACAGTAGCTATTCTGTGTGATCGGACCTGACAGGCCAATATTCGCTCACTACGTGCATCAATGAGCCTTGTGGGCCCATAACCCTGATGTGAGTTCACCGGTTGTCCTTCCTTGCACCACTTTTGGTAGGTACTAACCACTACATACTGGGAACAACCCATAAGACTTGCTGTTTTGGGGATGCTCTGACCCACTCGTTATCACTATATGGCCCTTGTTAGTGTCAATCAGATCTATTAACTGCCCATTTTTCCTGCTTCCAACATGTGAAATTCAAGAACTGACTGTTCACTTCCTGCAGGTGCCATTGTAACAATATAATCAATGTTATTCACTTCACCTGCTAGTACTTTTTCATGTTGTGGCTGATCAGTGTATAAGCCTCCATTCTCCCCATGTCACATTATAAAACTGATAAGTATATACTTGGCCTGGCTTGCCACACTTCATGAAAATTAATTTGTGTGTACCAAACATTGGAATGAACTTACCGTATTTTCCGGCGTATAAGACGACTGGGCGTATAAGACGACCCCCAACTTTTCCAGTTAAAATATAGAGTTTGGGATATACTCGCTGTATAAGACTACCCCTCTTCCAGTGCACACCAAATAAAAATTAGCCATGATGTACAGTGAGCAGACAGAGCTACACAGCAAGACATTAAATAATGATAATCTGAAATAGCATTTAAAGCCCAGGTATGTGCCAGGCTGTTTGGGCATATAATCCATGCCTGCTGGTCTAGCACACAGGAGGCTAATTGTATATATTCTTTTTACTCCCCCTCCATTCTTTTTACTCCCCCCCAATCCTCCCTACATTCTTCTCACCTCCCCTTCCCTGTGCAGAGTGGGTGGCCGAGCTCCTCTTCGTCCTGTCAGTCACCGGCGGTACAGGAGATTCAGTTACCTGTTCCCGGCCGGACTGAAAGGAAGTGAGCACTCAGTGTGCACTTCCTTTCAGTCCGGCCGGGAACAGGTAACTGAATCTCCTGTACCGCGCGGTACCCGGCCGGACTGACAGGACGAAGTGGAGCTCGGCCACCCACTCTGCACAGGGAAGGGGAGGTGAGAAGAGAGGCAGTGCCGCAGCCGTCTGAGCGCTCTCTCTAGAGCGCTCAGGCGGCTGCAGCATTAGAAGGGCCGGCGATGGGGGCCCTATACCCGGCATATAAGACGACCCCCGACTTTGGAGAAGATTTTCCAGGGTTGAAAAGTCATCTTATACGCCAGAAAATACAGTATTTAAGAATAGGCTTTTTGAACAATTAATATTTCTTGTATTATTATATTGATGTACAAGTTATAATTATAGGAATGTCATTCTGCCAAACTACAAGTTATTTAAACATTGTTTTATGATCACTATTTTGTTATTTCTTTAGTAAATATGTATTTTTGTTTTCCTCTTTTTTGTATTTTTTATGCATGATGTGAGCACTGTATTATATATTTTCACTTGATAAAATTCAATAAAATGTGTACATAGGGGAGGGGGGTGGGGGAAATAATGTTATTTAAAGATATGTTTGTAATTGTTACAGTGTGATATCTTGATTCCCCCCAGATCTGTTCTCGCAGGTGGCTGGCCCTTCTGGAAACTGTGATCAGCGGCAACTTGGCCTCCTCCTACATGAAGCCATCCAGATCCCTCGCCAGCTAGGGGAGGTCGCAGCTTTTGGAGGCAGCAATGTGGAGCCAAGTGTCAGGAGCTGCTTCAGATTTGTAAGTTCACTGGACAATTAAGGGGCTGGTTCAGAACCTCTTTCCCTGGAGTCTTGACCTCTTGCTTTTCCATCAGTGGTCCAAAGTGTGTTTGATTGGCTAATATTTAAATCAGTATGTCACTGTTTTATTGTTTATGGAAATTTTCTACGTGACCCTTGTATGTCTCTTGTTTTGGCAGACTAATGGAAATTTGCATTTGGAGCTATCTCAGTTCCTGGAGTGGGGAAGCCTGGAGCCACAGTCATTGGTTTGGCTCCCAGTACTGCACCGCGTGACATTAGCTGAGTCTGTCAAACATCAGACAAAGTGTTCAGTCTGTAAGCAATGTCCTATGAAAGGCTTCAGGTACGTATGTCAATTCTCTGTACAGATATCTCTATTTTTATCCACAAACTGCATCTGACAGTAGTTAAAATGTACTTCCTATTAAAGTCACCCCTAGTTTTTGCAGGTTACTGGAAGCCAATCATTCCCATACTTATGTTGCAGTAAAATCTAAGATATCAGACAAAAGGTACAGAGAACAATATAATTAGTTGGATCAAGGGTAACAGATATCTAGGTCAGGAAGGGACTGTGTCATGTCTTGTGGCAATGACAATCAGGAGAGTCAATAGGCCAAGCTGGACCAGAAAAACACAATAAAAAATGAACATACTATAGGGACAAAAACCACAATGGATCACTTACTGGTTTTGGCAAGCTTTTATAGTGGGATGTTCAGTTCCTATACAGTTGTCATTCAGCTGTGCTGGATAATCATAGTGTGCATGCGCTGTGTTTGTGTGTGGGGTCTGGTATTGCTATTAACTGTTGCCTGAACTCCTATGGAAAGCTGTCTCTACTAAGGATTGCAAATCTACTGTCTCTAAAATAAATGAGAAAACCCATAATAAAATTATGTACTTGTGCATCCCTCATTTTAAGTCTGAAGTAGCTTAACCAGCTTTATTTGCAAAAGAAGAAAAAATTGCTTTTGTTCCTTGGTAAGTATTTTTTTTCCAGGGAATGCTATATGTCTCCAATAGTGATGTCCCGAACAGTTCGCCGAACGGTTCGCCGCGGATGGCGAACATATGCGGTAAACTTTGACCCTGTACCTCACAGTCAGCAGACACATTCCAGCCAATCAGCAGCAGACCCTCCCTCCCAGACCCTCCCACATCCTGGACAGCTCACTAAGAATGCAGCTTCACAATGAATGTAAAATGGATGCTGTCCAGGAGGTGGGAGGGTCTGGGAGGGAGGGTCTGCTGCTGATTGGCTGGAATGTGTCTGCTGACTGTGAGGTACAGGGTTTAAAGTTTACCGCATATGTTCGCCGTCCGTGGCGAACGGTTCGGGACATTACTAGTCTCCAACTATGAATGTTGTGCTCTAGCTAGATTGACAATCCACAATATTTTTATTACAGTAATCAAAATAACAAATAACTATTTTACTTTACTGCCCCAATTACATACATACAGGTGGTACTCGAAAAATTAGAATATCGTGCAAAAGTTCATTTATTTCAGTAATGCAACGTAAAAGGGGAAACTAATATATGAGTTGGACGCATTATATGCAAAGCAAGATAGTTCAAGCCGTGATTTGTCATAAGTGCGATGATTGGGGCTTACAGCTCATGAAAACCCCATGCTTGAATATTCTATTTTTTCCAAAAGGGCATCCAGATCGTTTTATAAAAAAATATATATATACAAATTCTACAGATTCCTATCACTCTAACTTACTCTCTCTTTATTTTTATTCTTCTTGAATATGATCTTATAGATATTGTCTGCTAAGCTCTCTTTAATGCTTATGTGAATTTTATTTCTCACTACAGGTACAGGAGTTTGAAACAATTTGGAGTCGATATCTGTCAGTCTTGCTTTTTGACTGGTCAAGCTGGAAAAGGCAATAAGCTCCACTATCCAATCATGGAATATTACACGCCGGTGAGCAAACTGTGCAGTTCTACCTCATTGTCTCTGTATTCCCAGAGCTGGGATATGAACAATATGAACTGTGTCACTTATCTAATTTACTTTGGCATCTGGTGCCATTGTTCCTCTGTGTTTTCAGACAACCTCCGGGGAGAAGATGAGAGATTTTGCTACTACTCTTAAAAATAAATTCAGAACTCGTCAGTACTTCTGCCGGCACCCGCAGAGGGGCTACCTACCTGTACAATCTGTGCTGGAAGCTGAAGTGTCGGACACGTGAGTCACTGTTCATGTTTAATTTTTTTTAAAGCTAACTTAGATGCTCATGAAATATTGAGGTATTATTCATAATAATCAGCCTAATCCTCATCATTTACTATTTTTATATATATTTTGCAGACCAGTCTCTTCCCCAATGCTTCCGCACGCTGATACACATTCACGCATAGAGCACTTTGCAAGCAGGTCAGTATGTAAGAACTGGCTCTCTCATTGTTAAAATTACTGTCTTCATGCAATAGATGTAATACTATACACTCAATCCTGGTGACAAGTAAGAGGCTTTAACATTTTTATATATAATAAATATTTGCTATACTTATAAATGTATGGTTATAAGGCATTAAACCATCAGATTTTCACAGTACTGAGTCTATAAATCTTTGAGTTTGTTGCGTTTTCAGCTGAGAGGGAGCTGTGGCTGTATACAGAAATATATCAGTGGTTAGAGTATTGTTTTCTTATTCTTAAGAACTAATATATTTTACTCTTATTGTTTCTGGACAGATAGCACGACTGAGAGTATAGAGCAGGGATCAGCATCCTGTGGCACATGTGCCATGCATGGCACTTGAGGTGCCTTTGCACGGCACTCAAGGCTACTGAAGACAAACAGGCTCTGGCCTATCAAGAGTCCCAGTGGTCTTCAGATATCTGCTAGTGCAAACTGAGCGGTGACTGCAGGTGGTGAGGGACAATCCTCAATTTACACATTGCATCACTTCCTCCCAGCATTTGAACTGGGATCCACACTGGAGTAGTAAATCCTGCAGCAGCTATAGCAGCTCCTGCCCACAACTTTTTTCCTGGCCAGCCTGGTCCCCACTGAACCCCAGGGAAGGCACCCACACTGATGGATATACACAGACCTGCAGAAAAAGCCTCCCCCCTCATACAAATATTACAAACAGCCCACACACATACCCACACAAAGTCCCCACAACACAACCCCACATAACAGCCCACATACGCACAAATACAACAATACAAAGCAACTGCGACACCCATAAATAGTACAAGCAGAATTTGGCAACATACACACCTCAATTAAAGAGACTTCAGGATCTGTTTTGGCACAGTACTACTAAAAGGTTGCCTACCAGTGGTATAGATGAATGAATATGATATCATGTATTATCATGTTCCCAATGGGTTAACCATCTAGCTTTGGAAGGCTGCATTCTAGGGTGCAACTGAATGTTAATTAAAAACATAGAATGCCCAGCTTTGAGCCGAGATCAGATACCAGGGATATATAAATACAATATACAGGGAATAGAACCAGGAGGGAAACACAGGAAAAAAGACAAGGCTGCACATATGCCTTTTAACAACTAATAAAAAGATAAAAAAACATATTTTATTGTCTAGCTATGAAGGCCTGTCGGAACACATTCTCTCCTATATTTGCTCGAACTACAACATACCAAACGAGATTTCAAATTTACAAAGAGGGACAATCTAATTTCAGTGGTATGAGCGGGAAATTTTAAGTAACTTACTAATAAGTATACAATTAAAATGTAATTTAAGAACAAGAATAATGTATCTTATTAACAAACTGATTTCTAAAAAATGTTTGTAGTTTAGAGACACATTACTACGAGTATTATTGCTGTGGAGCTAGATATATTAAATAAAATATATCTAAAAAGCAAATGCAAAGATGCAAGGTCTCCAGTAGTGTAAAACATTTTTAATATTTATAACAATACAAGAAATGTGCTCACAACACTTGTTGCAAGCCCTGAGCAATTGAATAATGTCTCATGAAACCTGTAGGATTGGAGAGCAAACGTAAAGAAGGAAGGCAAAGGTATACAGAACACAATATACATAATGCATAATACACGTAATATAGGACTATTCACTAAAGTGGGATTTCAAATTTAAAGTCAACAATGTCAGATATGTTTCCAGTTTGGCTACTTTGACTTAATTTTAGAAATTCACTTTGAATTGGCACTTTAGCGAATAATCCTGATATTTTTCTGTAGCACATATTTCCTATAATAAGTACAGCTGGTGTGGAGACAGCAACAACTTTATAGAAACATATAGAAACATAGAATGTGATGGCAGTTAAGAACCACCCGGCCCATCTAGTCTGCCCAATTTTCTAAATACTTTCAGTAGACCTTGGCCTTATCTTATAGCTAGGATAGCCTTATGCCTATCCCACGCATGATTAAACTTCCTCACTGTGTTAACCTCTACCACTTCAGCTGGAAGGCTATTCCATGCATTCCCTACCCTCTCAGTAAAGTAATACTTCCTGATATATTTTTTTTTAACCTTTGCTCCTCTAATTTAAGACTATGTTCTCTTGTTGTGGTAGTTTTTCTTCTTTTAAATATAGTCTCCTCCTTTACTGTGTTGATCGATGTATTAATACATAATACAGTTTATGTAATACAATAGCCAATTTCTGTTTCTGTTAAGTCCGCAGCTTGTGAGCAAATTTCATTTACAGCTTGTTTTAAATATTAAACGTGTGTACACTATTGGAGACCTAGTTTTTTAGATATATTTTGCCTGTGTGGATCTGTGAGGAACGGACAAGCAATCCTAATCCAGGGCAGCATTAGATTTAGGAGAAAATACCCAGATTTTCTATATTATTAAAATTACGGTTTAGTGAAAATGTACTGCTGTGGTGACTATAACTTCACGTGAGATTTAATTGTGTCAATTTCTAGAAATGCTAAATCTCCCCTCATTAAATCATTTCCTCTGCAGGCTCGCTGAAATGGAAAGTCAGAATTGCTCCTTCTTCAACGATAGCCTCTCCCCAGATGACAGCCTGTGAGTCTTTCTGTTTTCATAACTTGTTGCTCCCCAAGCTTCTTATCAAGGCCTCGATTTAATACGTTTTCTAAACGATTCGATACTGATTGGAAAACCTTCCCAATAATGTATCTACAAAAGTCCCCATTAAAGTCTCTGGGAATTTTTGCTGATAAATCATTTGGAAAGTTATTTTAACAGTCGTTCAGAAATATTCCTAAATTGAGGCCTAAATCTGAAATAAACAAATAAAGCTAAATATTTCACTACTCTTGTGTGTGAAGCCTCATTTTACATTCAGTTATACTGTGTTGTATGTCCTTCTAGAGATGAAGATCAGTATTTGCTTCGACACTCGAGTCCCATTACAGACCGGGACCCAAGCAACACGTCGCAAACTCCTGGTACCTTTAATCCAGAACAGGAACAAGGAGAGCTGGAAAAAATCCTTGCCCACCTCGAGCATGAGAACAGGTATTCTATTACTGCAGTTAGATATCCAAAGTGTGATATAAATTAACTGAAATAATACCTGTAAACAGAAATTAAATAATTGGATTCTAAAACGTTTATTGGTCAATCAACTTTGTATTTCATATTTGCAAAAATATATCTGTACTGCTATCCATAGATGATAGCTACAAAATAGAAACTGTGCAGCCATGTGAGGATGGGATGAACAAAATGGCTTCCCAGTCACTAGGGCAATAAATGGCGTGGGGAGGAACAAGGATAGCCTACCTCCTATTATTTATTTAACTCTGATTCACAAACGTCTGAATGAGATCCTGATTAAAAATGTTCTGTGAAAATGAATGTGTAGCTAAAATATTTACTAAAGGTACATTGCACATCCTGGTTTAAAATTGTCACAAATTATCACGTGTAGAAATACTATACAAAGTACAAGATTTAATCATTTATTAAACATCAAATATCTACCGGGTCTTCTGCAAAATAGGTCGACCTACTTTTCAGCACTTGCAATCAACACTATTTGTCCTTTGGCAGCACAAGCAGCTAGTGGGCAAACCGTTAAAAAGAAAACTTCAGGGGTTTGAGACATGTAACTTTGGCAGTTGGCTAAATACTGCTAGGCAGTCACCTTTAGGTAATAAAAAATGTAATATTGGGTGACCAATGCTGGGAGCATAATGGGCATGTTATGGGTACTGTGGCTGGTCATCCTTTAATTCCGTTTCCTGTATGGTGGAATGGAGACCTGTTCATGGTCCCTCACCAAGCCAACCACCCATGCTGAGCAGGTGGGGGCTTATTAAATAAACTATTCAGAAGGCTGCTCAGTTTTAATAAGCCTCTTAGTTGTGGGTTTTAGGGTATCAATATAATAATAGAAGGGCGATTTGTGCTACTTGGCAGCCAGGTCCCTTATTTATCTCACATAAACCAAAAATATATATTCTAGTACAGGTAAATGAAAATGTTTGTTTAAAATGTAAGAACAGATGTGAGAAATATGATAAAATAGAATTCACATGTCTGCTAGCTAGTCCCTGTTTATTTATTTAATGATGGTGTTTTTTTTTTTACTCCAGAATTCTCCAAGGAGAGCTGAAACGGTTGAAGTGGCAGCATGCAGAGGCTGGTGAAAGTGCAGTGTTGGGAGAGGTTTCTTCAGACTCGGGAGGTGGTGGCAGTGGTGAGGCACAGAGTGAAGAATTGTTGAGTGAAGCACGGATCTTAAGGCATCACAAGAACCGTCTGGAAACACGTATGCAGATACTGGAGGACCACAACAAGCAGCTTGAGTCACAGTTACATCGACTCAGAGAGCTGCTTCTGCAGGTATAAGAGCAACAAAGGTTGAGTTACTTATGGGGTGCAACTCCTTCTCTAGCAAGAGTTGTGCTTCCCTATGCTCTCCATTGGGGGCAATTGTACTTTAAACAAGCTTCTGTAAGATTGGACCAGATTGGATAGCCTTCGCTCCCCACCTGCATCAATGAGCCATGGGCTCTGACGCTGTTTCACCAGATGTCCTTCCTTGCACCATTTTTGGTAGCTACTAACCACTGTATACTGGGAACACTTCACAGGATTTACCGTTTTGGTTATTCTGACACAGTTGTCTAGCCATCACTATTTGGCCCTTCTCAAAGTAACTCCGTTTTCTACGCTTGCTCATTTTTCCTGCTTCCAACACATGAAATTCAAGAATTGACTGTTTACTTGCTGCCTAATATATCCTACCCCTAGACAGGTGCCATTGTAACAATATAATCAGTGTTATTCACGTCACCTGTCAGTGATTTTAAAGGAATACTATAGGGTCAGGAACTTAACATGTATTCCTTATCCTATAGTGTTAAAAACACTGTCTAGCTCCCCTGGCATTCCTTGCCCCCTAAATATAGTATAATATTACCTTTATTCCATTCTGCTGGTGCTGGCTCTGCCCCTGATCTGCATCCTTGACTGACCTCATCAGAAGTGATGTTCTCCGCCAGTCACAATGCTTTCCTATTGGAAAGCATTGGATTGGCTGAGATGATTAATTCTGATGATCTCAGGCAAGGAGGCAGATCAGGGGCAGAGCCAGCACCAGCAGAATGGAATAAAGGTAATATTATACTATATTTAGGGGGGCAAGGAATGCCAGGGGAGCTAGACAGTGTTTTTAACACTATAGGATAAGGAATACATGTTAAGTTCCTGACCTGGCCAAACACCAACCTGGCCAATCAGAACCTCCTCATAGAGATGCATTGAATCAGTGCATCTCTATGAGGAAAGTTCTGTGTCACCTATAGCAGCCATCTAAGGAGTGGCCATTCAAAGTGTCCCTTGGCAGTAAATATTCTCTAAAAAGTGTTTATTGCATAAAGCCTGCAGGGACTGACTTTACTTACCAGAACAACTACATTAAGCAGTAGTTGTTCTGGTGACTCTAGTGTCCCTTTAACCCCTTAAAGACACATGACATGTGTGACATGTCATGATTCCCTTTTATTCCAGAAGTTTGATCCTTAAGGGGTTAATGTTGTGGGTGATCAGTCTATATTGAGCATACACATTGCTGTTAGGAACATATGTGTAGAAAGTTTCCTTTTTCTTAAAATAAATATGTATGAGATTGCTTTTTTGTTTTATAGTTTAGGGTTTGTTTTATACTTACTGGATTTTTTTATATTTTCAAACTGTCTAGATTTGATCTTACACTATATTCCAATATATATGTGAATGTCTGGTTTTCAGCCAAACACAGATGATGGGAAACCTTCATCTTCCTCCACTACTCCAGACTCTGAAAATAAGTGTCCTGTGGAAAGGAATGGCGGCACGCCAGAGACTGAGGCAGCAGGTAAGAAGAAATATTTCCTAATATTATAGCGGTTATGGCTAGCTGTGGGCATGTGAACAGTGGATTAGTACTATCACAAAATATTACTTGGTATACACACCGATAGACCACTCAACTGTACGATTACACTTACTGGAGACTGGGCATCATTGGCAAACGTTTACAATGTTCTTGAATTGTTTTACGATTGAGCTGTCTGAAACATTTATTTGCTTGTTAAAAATAGTTGGCAGTGGGCTGAGGTGTATTAGATTTAGACTCATCACTTCAAAAGACATACTTGTGTGTCATAACCAAAAAACTAATTATTCATTCCAGTAGCTTAGTGTCCGTTGCTTTCTAGCAGTGTTTCTCGGGTGGTTGAAAAACACTAAATTATACAATGTTGTCTTCAATCAGATGTGTAGGGATCATCTTTAAAGCATACTACACTGTGAACTCCCCACATTTCCTGATATAAATGAAATAACTTTGATTTGGTAGCTGAAAAGTGAACTAAAAAAAATGTAAATGTAAAAAATTTAAATAAAGTAAAACCTCTTGTAATCAATTTCTTAGGGGGTAAAAAGAAAATGAATAATTTCACTGTTTTTCTTGTATAACATTTGCAGATGATGTGGACAGTCGGACTAGAGAAGTAGGATTGTGTTTAGAAGACATTATGGAGAAACTAAGAAATGCCTTCCCCAATACTAGAGGTATCCAAAACCGTCCTGATCTTGCTCTATGTCAGATAAAGTAAATAATACCTTACTATATGACTCTTATGTATTCATATTTTTTGACAGTTTTTGTTCAGTCTTTGGGAAGATTCTCTTAATGATAAAAATGATAAATTGATTTTACACTTGGGAGTTTACGGGTAGATAATTCCTGAATCAGCGGATTTTGTTTAATTAACCTTAGCATTAAATTTTTTCTTCTCAGATGTTGACATGGCACCTGTGACGTCCAACACACTGCCTTTGTGACAATAAACATGCACATGACATAAAGTTTATCCTCTTCTGGCAAGGTTCCATAACGCATCTTCCCAGCCAATATAAAGAAGATAAAAGGTTCACAAGTAGCACCAGTCCCAAATTAGGTTATGGTTTTTCAAGCCTTGGCTGGACAGTAGCATCTAGGCCTTCCTGAACTCCACGCTAGTTATGAGATGCCTATGGATTAATGAATTGTGGTTATGTGCACACCTTACATCACTGTGCCTACTTTGATTTTTTCAAAGATATCTGAGTTAGAGGATTGTGGTTAATACCAACCCTCACCACTCCGATTTGAGCTGGTATTTTCATGACTTACCGCATGAGGATCCTGGATAACCAATGAAAAACAGAATGTCAAGGGAAAAGTGTTTCCCCCAATTTCCACCACGAAGCACCAGGGACAACCACTATCAAGTTCAATGTTAACAGAGGATTACAGATATCCCAATGTTTTCTGGTTATGATGCAAAGAATTGCCTTGGACTTCCATCACACCTGATCAAACCAAAATTATCCTCTGTAACAGAAATTATAATCACAGAAACCCAATTCCAGAATTCCGAGTGATCTTTTTTGTCAACGTGTATCAGGATCACTCACACTCTGAATATCTTAACATGCTCCAAGAGGTTATTTTCTCTTCTGTTTTTTGTATTTTTTTTTCAAACAGGAGACAGCTATGATTAATATGTTTTAATGTTTTGTCTTGCTTTCCTTTTTATCTAGGTGCAGATAAAAGGATGGGTAGTTTGTGATTACAATGTGATACCATTCATTTTAAGAGTGCTGTAAAGAATAGGGGAATGTACAAGTAAAAGCTACGTTAAGGGATGTGCACTTGTAGCTAGGAAGTAACATCTGAGAATGTGTAGGTAATACGTTTAAATATATTGGTAAAGTCAGAATTTGTCTGTGTAGATGTATAGAGGGAAAAAAAATCTGTCATATATCGTGAATCTGTCAGCGTTTCATCTATGGGTGCACTATAAATAAGCAGAGCCAAAGATTAATATATTTGAAGCAGTTAAAATGAAATCATATTAATTATATATTTCATTAGCAGGTAAATATTAAAATGAATAGCAAAACAATTACAGGAGTAAGGTCCAAATAAATAGCTGTAATAGTAAAACTGCTGTTAAATTTAATCTAAATGATTTTTGTTTTTTTACCATGAGGAACTGCGGTGGATAACCAAACCAGCAATTGAATATTATCCAGTACCATAAATGCATATAGATACCTGTAAATAAGAAATATTAAACACTAAAGAAGTGTAAGGGTATAACCAATATATCCTGAATAAGTACAATCATTAGATATTTATATAGACTTGTAAAATATTAAATAACGATTTTACTGACATAACAGAATAATTTATAGTAGCTAGCTTATAATTTAATTTTTTTTTTTAACAGTGGAAATCAGCTATAGTAATATTTATAGAAATGGATAATTTAACTCATTTCAGTTAACATGTTGACTAATAAGTGTTTGCATCATGTGTAATGACCATTCCAACCGTTGAATGTATCTATCCAATGTTAATGGTAAAATTTCTACAGGCAAATGAAAACGCTGGATAACGAATTCCAATCATTTATTTTACTGGTACTCATGGGTAAAGACATTTGCAATTGCAAACAATCCTTCTAAAACAATTTTATACATTTCTTGTGATCCTTCGCCCTGTTGAAAGCAGACTGGAAAGAGGAAATATTGACAGAAAAGATACAGAGAACTTTGAAGTGACAATGAAAAGTGATCTGAGAAGAGTTCTAAGGGGTAATAAAGCAAAGCACGGGGCAACAGTAAATGGAGACATAAGGTTTTTTTTTTCCTTCATCTAAAATGGAAAATATACTTTTGGTGGTGACTGGTGGTAGTATGTAGTGTTGGGGTGGGCAAGTAGATGTTTGTTTAAAAGTAAGAGACGTTTGTTGGGCAAAGTGTAGTTCTCCGTCCTTAAAGAAAAAAGCAAAGTTGGTAATATTGGAATATTGGTTTAAGTTACTTACTTTTTTGAAGTCTAACCAGTAACAATCTTTTGAAAAGAAAAAATATATATATTTCAAATTTTGAAACCAAAATAAAGTTGTCTTTGAAATGCCACAGTGCATCGAGTTTTCTGGGCATAAAACAATATTTAGACCAAAAGTGCCCAAATGGAACATCCCATGATACTTTACAAGTACAACTTCCATGATGCTTGGGTTTTCTAAAATCTGGGAATGCATCATGGAAGTTAAGGTTGTACAACATCCAGAAATCTAAATTCTGAGCACCCCTCGTTTTAGACACTTTTGGCCTAACTCATGCTTCACAGGATTTACAATCCCCAACTTGAGACCCTAGCCTGCTGTCAACCCTTTTTGGGAAAACCGGATACAAGTCTCTTATAATTCCAGTGCAAGTGCAAAATTAGACAGGCTCACACTGTGCAAATGATCTCACTGCATTCAGCACACATTAGAGTGCTTCAGTAGAGCTCTGCACAGGGGCTATCTCCTTAGTGGGATGCATTCCAGACTGATATTTATACATACTTAATTCCCACCAAGGTACCACATTCCGATCTTCCAGTGAATGGTATGCAAACACAATGCAGCATGCGAATGGAATGCTCAAAGCATAATTATATCAAAACAACATGAAGTGCATGGCCATGAAAGCCTGCAAAGTTAAAGGGACACTATAGGCACCCAAACAACTTTAGCTTAATGAAGATGTTTTTGTGTATAGATCATGCCTCTGAATTCTCACTGCTTAATTATCTGCAATTTAGGAGTTAAATCACATTTGATTGTGTCCATGCAGCCCTAACCACAGCTCCCCTGTGTCTCACAAATAAAAAAAATGGTTTCACTTTCAATCAGATGGTAATTTAATTTAGATGTATCTCCTGCTCTGTAAATTGAACTTTGATCACACGCAGGAAGCCCCTGCAAGGGATTAACAAAGCAGGAGATAAGAAATTCTAAATTAAATTTAAACAGACTGTGATATACAGAAAGTTTCAACATTAAATCTCTCTTTATACTAAGTGTTTCGGAAGGCTGTGCACTTTACATGCAGGGAGCTGTGACTAGGACTGCATAAACAAAGTTATATAACTCCTAAATGGCAGAGAATTGAGCAGGGGCATTTTCTATACACCAAAACTGCTTTAAGCTAAATTTGTTTTGTTGACTATAGTGCATCTTTAATGAATAAGTTACATTTTTTAGATTTTACTGAAAGCTTCCAATTCAGTTACATTGAAATCTAGGATTGAAAAAAAAGACACCAGTTCATCAAGTTCAACCTTTAAACACATATTTTAATGCCATTGATACAAAAGAAAGCGCCAAAATAATTCCACATCTTTATTGTTTTTATGTGAAAAGCTATTTCCTATGATGTAGGTGAAATCATGTTTTACCAAGTTTAAAAGGGTTACACCTTGTACAGAGCTGTTAATGAATGAAAGATGTTTGTACTGCAACACTGTGGGATATGGTAGCGTATCAATGTCCCTTAGATTTTTATATTACTACATAAGAAGTAGCCAATTTTTAGGTATTCATTGTTTATTATAAAAAGGTTAAAAAGGTGGATGTTTATGAATGTTACAGATTATCTTGTACTTATTTTTCAATGGACCAATTAGCCTTCCAACGTTGCAGCCTTGCTAACATGCGGTTGCTTTGAGCACACCGGATCGGAAATGCTGACAGCCAAGCTTGAGTCTACTACTGTACTGGTACGTTTTTGCTGAATGATCCAACATAGAATGCATGTGTTGGAATGTCATATCCACAAAGATATTCATTTTTGACATTCAAGCTCCAGTATGGGCAGTTAACCTCTTAAATCTCAATCATGGAACAGGGAGCTTCAAAACGGCGACTGTATGGATGTCATGTGGTATTCATTTCTCAATCAAAGCCTCGAGCTGTTCTTGCAAAGAAGTCACCTGAAATTCATAAAATCAAATCAAATAGGCATTAATAAAATAAGGTAGTCCAGAGCTCTGAGGCACCCACCCTTTCATCCACATTGGGAAAATTATTCACAACCAAAGTAGCACACCATGTTTAATAGTTAAAACTAAAACAAAATTAAGGACCAAATAAGAGAATATAGCAGAAAAAGTCTCAATGTGAAAGTAGCAAAATCTAATACAGAAAAGGAATTCGGAAATGGAACTGGATGAGCACAAGGTTATACTCGACAACAGGTTAAAAATAAAAAAGTATGTTTTAATAAACCCACAGAGACTTCCGTGCTGGCCCACACCTAACGGAAACACTAATTTCTCAGTCTCAATCCTAGCATCTGGTTAATTGTTCTGCGTCAATCAGTGGAGGTGTAAAGAAGGTCACACCCTCCCACACTGTACTAAATCCATGAAGAAGAAAAATAAAAAAATAAAAAGATAGGGAGTGCTATGGGTGTTGCATGCGGCAGGTGTTTAGTCTGCAGTGGCATTTGAAATGAAGAATGATTTTAGGCAAATCTACTGTAGCTTATAAAAACATTATTTGTGCTTCTATGCCATGTTTTCAGAACCTGTGGGGAATACTGCAAGACAAGGGATACAGTATAATATGTACTGATACTTAATACCAAATGAGAGAGAGTGTAAAAAAATGCAATAACGTTAATCTACAGAATGCCAGTTTTAGTTACCCCTAGTAGCAATCTATACATAAAACTGCTGTCATGCTACATTTATTTGCTACTAGTGAATCCCATCTTTCAAAAATAAGCAAAGCTAAATGATATAATCAAAATGCCTCAGATAGGTATACAAATACCTTTTCCTAAATAATATTTTAATAGCAAAAGCCTAAAATGAATCAGCAGATTTAGACAGAGAGCAGGATAAACTGTACATTAGATGTGTCAAGCAATTCCAATCTGAAACCACACTCTTGCTTTTTTTGTTCCTCACAAGAAATCAGTGTTATCCATCACCAGGTTTGCAGATCAATGCTATATCCTGAGGATTAGTGAAATCTCACCTGTTGTTTTTCTCTGTCCTCTTGCTGTCTGAATTCATCTAGCACGGCCTGCAAGCGAGTCTGTAACAGAGACAGGGGGAATTAGGAACAGTTCTCAGTGTTCAACCACAATGCGTGCACATTCAGAAGGCTACACATAAAGTTTCTGTCATATTTCAGCCTTGTTAATGTTAGTAGCATTCGTTATGGGTCCCAAATGCCAACAATTGCTTAAATAGTTACAAACACAAAGTAGGCTCCAACATTTACTCAACTATTTAAGCTACCAACCAGACACTTAATTATGCAGCCATTGATCCAGTTAACTACACTGCAGGGATGCCATAATACCCCTCTTATCACACAGTTGCACTGGACTGGTTGCACAAAGCCAACACTTGATCTATAGAAGCTATAATCATGAATGGTACTGCACGTGTGCAATTGGAATATTGCTCACTGCATAAAGGTCAGCCAACTTCCTGCCATATCCAAACACCTGTAGTGGGAGCCACTTAACAAGCAATATTAAATCCTCCTGTGGCAATGACTTTCTGTTCCTTACCTTCAGAGCTACATTCTCCACTTTCATTATAAGCTCCTCCTGTCTCTTCCTTCTCTCTTGGGTCTCACGCAATTTTTTCTGTAAATTCTCAACTTGTTTCTGCAATTCCAGAGCTTGGGGAAAAATTAAAAGTAAATAATCAAAAAGCAGAGGAGATGAGCACAATCATTCTTTAACTTAATATAATTTCTATTTTGACATAAGAACCATGCGTGTATGCTCTTGCATTCATTAATGCATTATACTAACCAATTTGATTAGTGCCCCCATCTTGGCCATCCTGGTGTCCCCTTTGCTCCTCTTCAGTCTCCATGATATTTAGATCTTCTTCCTCTTGTCTCTCCCGCTCCTCCTCCTCCTCTTCACCATCACTGCTGCTACTAATGTCGTTGAAGATCTCCCGTAGTTCATCCCTCTCCACTGTCAGAAGGGTTGGAGCAGAAACAATCATTAGAAATCAAAAATGCCAAGGGTGTTTTAGCATCAAGACAGAAGAATATGGAATTTATAAAAGTGATGGATTTTGTTTTTTCTAAATTAATTTAGTATTGTTCAGGGAAAAAAAACAAAAACAATAATCTTTCTTGGGCACGGCAATGTTGGAAAATAATGTGTAATGTTTAGAATGTTAGATATATAAAGGCCATTTTATTTCCTAATAAATATAAATCTTTTCATATAGTGCACAGCATGGTTTCTGATATGAAGATCTGTGTTGCCACAATGTTTGAGTGGAATACATGGCGTCAGGGTTTCATTAAAATAAATTTCAATTAGAATATTTGTTGACTTTAATTTTATTCGTGTACGTGTATATGTATATACACGTACATAACTAATTATATTATATATAATTAATAATCGGTAAAGATATTATTTCAAAGAGCAAAAGCTTGACAATCGACAGTCCATAATTTCATGAAAATTGTGAAAATACCTTCAATTATTTGTTAAATTGTTTATGCATAAGATTTTAAAAGATTTGAAGCCAATGATAAAATACATAGATGTTGACATAGCAAAATTTTGCTAACAAATAAAGTACCTGAAGACCCACGGCCAGGTTTGATTCCAGACATTCCTGGGGAGCCATCCAATCCAGTCAGATTCTCCACCTCTTTGGATTCATCTTCAGCAATCACTTCCCAACCTTAATGTACTTGGTCAAGGAAATACAGAGGTCCCCTTTCCCCGTGAAATGCACCTTATTAATATATTTATTTGTACCTGGCGCAACCTATTTCCCATACACATCAGGTCCATCATCAAAAGTATCCTAGGTGGGGATTGTTCCACCCATGCGGTTACCATAGAGCGGTTTGTCTGCTCTCAAAATTGTAAGTACATTTCATTTTACTATTACATATTTGCAAATATGGAGAGAACTATGGGCCTTCTTTTTCTTTAATTGCATACAAACTACACTACAACTACCGTCTGAGGGATATCCTACAAGTGGGAAGTTGAAATACAACCGTAAGCCGTTTTACCGAGAGCTGGTTATAGCTCTGAAAAACGTGAGTTGGCAATTTTTAGTTCTATGTTGTCTATAATCCATAGACTTACAATACTGCACTATTGGTCTCCTATTTTCTCTTTTGCATATGCTGTTAATGTGTGATACCACTCAGTAGACATCTTATTCAACATTTGAAGACTTTTGAAACCTCAAAAGGACATTTTAATCTTTTACTTGGTACCTTTTTTTGATGACTTACTACAATATTGTATTTATTTTGGCGCTACCTGTATCCTTTTTTCTGTTTGTTCGATTTATCCTTGAAGGTTTTGAGGGTTAACTTCCTATTCAGGTGTGCAGCCCCCTTGTGATCAGTTATTGTAGCGCTGATCCACCCTTGTTTTTTTGTGTTCAATTCACTAAAGGGTAGGGTCCCAACTAACTTATTTTTTTTCAAAATCGATCAGATAATTTTTTTCCTAAATGTTTTATATAGCCACTCTCCATTTTAGTTTCCTTGCAGCTGAGATGACATCACTATGGTCCAGTGGGGATAGTGCCAGCTCAGGACTGTGGGTGGCAAGCCTCTCTCCTCACGTGCAGCTTCCACGAGTCCCGGGAGGAAGGGATCTGACATCACTTCCTCCCAGCACTGTCACACAGTAGAGAAGAGGGGGCAGTCAGCATGGCCTGTTGAGGGTCCTACAATGCACT